CCCCCCCCCCCCCCCGGTTCTAACCTTGCGGTGTTGTATTTTTTTGGCGGGTCCCGTGCAACCCTCGGCGGTTCTTGCACACCACATGTACAGGGCGAGTCGCCGGGTAGTGTTGCGGACGCCCAGAGGGCCGTTCTGGCGCTGGCCAAGAAGAGGGGGGGCGGGAAGCCTCACGTCGCCACCAACCCGGAGGTTAGTGCCAAGAACGAAACCGTCACTGCTGACCATGCTGTTGGGTTCGGAAAACGTCATTCACGCGAATTTTGTATAGTTCTTCTTTTTTACGGAATGCTGTACAAGTACCTGGAATGTTTTTTATGGGTGTCGGCCTGCCGATGAGGGGGCGATTCCGCATCGAAAAAGCAAAAGGCAATAAACGCATTTGCCTGCGTACGTGCTCTCGGCCCCTGTGCACTTTGTGCGGACGCAAGTATAGTTTTGGACGCGCTGACCGTTTCGCCGATGTGTTTCCTGTAGCTGGCTGGCGTCCCGCGCCACTCACACTTAAAGTCTGGCCGTCTTCTCCCCCCCCCCGCCCCCCCCCAACTTGTCTGGTTGGTCAGCAAATACGCCCCCCCCTCCTCCGTCCTCGTAGTGCTACCAATGTACCTCGGGGTCAACGATGTCAGCGAAAACTGCACCATTATGCTTTGGCAGAAAAAGCCGCAACGACGAGACCCCCCCTCCCACCCCCCACCCCCCAACAAAACAAAAGGAGTGCCGAGAGCTGTGGCGACAGCGCAAGGAAGCGCTGTGGTCCCTGATGGGCCTCTACCCGGAGCTGGAGTGCATGACCACCGACGTCTGCGTGCCGGTATCTCGGCTATCGGACCTCATCGGGCAGAGCAAGAGGGAGCTCGACGCCTCCCGACTTCCCGCGCCCATCGTCGCCCACGCGGTAAGAGAGAAAGAAAAGAAAAACATTGTTAGTGCTCCGCTGGTGCTATGAATTCATTACCAATTTATCCTATAGTCCCTTTTCTATGGATAGTGGATAGAGATGGATATATTGTTGTGTTATATTAAGAAAAACAAAGGGACAGGCCGGTCGGCTAGCCACCCCGCGGACGCAACACGGAACACGGGTCACGACACGGAATGCCGCGGTCGTTCTTTGTCGTGTATTTTTTTTAGTGGCGGGTGCAAACGCGCGTGTGGTCACGCGGCAAGCAAATGACGTGTGAAGAATCGACGCGGATGCGGCGGAACTGTCCCCAGAAGTTGTCTAGCGTGTTTTTTCCCGAACAGCTCCCCACGCCTCCGTGAAACGTGTCGACCGGTACTACCATTTTCTATTTTCGTACGGTTTGGTTGGCGCTGTGCTTTGCCCGACAACAGACTGATACGGTTCGTGTCCAACAGGAAAACTGTCGTTTTCGTTTGATGCCGTCAATAATTGCTTTATGCGGTCCCTTGCCTCCTTCAAGTATTAGACCCTTCTTTATGGAAACATAATCTTGCAATTATATCTTGGCATTTTGACCCAAGATTTGCTCACAATATATCTCCGCGAAGATTTGCAGTATCGCGATTTATGGGGGAAATATCTTGAATGTTGAAAATGCGGCGTGTTGTTCCTCTCTTCTGCTTGAAGTTGAAAAAGGCACAACGGCCACTTGGTCCACAGAAAATGCCAAGGTGTGGCGAAAAGGGAGCATGACGCAGTTGTAGAAGGGGCATCCCTCCCCCAGCTGTATTGCCTCAACACTGTGGGTGGATACTAGCGATGGGCGCCTACCTGGGGTGCAAAATTGAATCCGTTGCCCACGAGCTCATCTCAAGCGGAGAAACAAAACTGTTCCATTGCTGTCCAACTGACAAGAAAGTGCATCAACCCGAGGCCGATGACACCCATGCACGTATCTCATGATGTAGCAGGCGTACCGAGGTCAAACCTTCGGCACTGTCATCTGCACCCACGGATTTGGCTCGGGTGCAAACGGATTGGGTGTGGGGTGATTCGATGAACAGATAGAAGCGTCGCACACGACAGAGCAGTGTTGGCAAAACGTTCCTCCTCCTCTATTTTTCTACTTCAAAATAAACTACTCTTTGAGCGGTCCCTCCACAGACTGGTGATGACGCACGTGGAACGAGTCAGGGCAAATACGCTTTTTTTTCGCGCGCCTTGGTTGTTTTCGTTCGCTGTCGGCGCCCGTGGCGCCGACACAGTGACGCCACGGTGCGTTAGAGACCCTTGCGAGTGTGCCACGTGCAGATTTCATGGCGTTATGGACGATTAGGTTGACTGACCTTCGGTGATCGCGCCGCACTGAGGCAAGATTTATTACGCCGCCTCAAGATTTGTCGGAAGGCTCGACTTGACAAATCTTGGGTCAAGATTTGTTCGAAAGGGCAGATTTCGGGCCTCGAGAAATCTTGGCCAAGATATATCGGAATATTTTGTTCCCATAAATCGTGAAACTGACAGATCTTGGCCAAGATCAAGATTTGTCGACAAGATTTTGTTCCCAAAATCGGGGTCTTACTACTTGTTGAAGCTTCGCATTTTCTCTCGTGCGTGTTTTGCATTGGTTTCACTTGTTGGTAGAACATGTACATTCATCAAGAATTATGTGTTTTTTTCGTGTACTTCTGTTTCCTCTGTACAGCAGTGCTCAACAACATCCGTCTTCTTGTTTTCTTTTTGCTTCGATGTTTTCTTCTCGTCGCTGCAGGGAGACGGAAACTTCCACGCGCTGATAATGTTCGACAGGACCAACCCCGCCGACGTCGCCGAGGCCGACCGGCTGAGCTCCTTCATGGTGCACAAGGCGCTTGAGATGGAGGGCACTTGCACGGGCGAGCACGGAGTGGGTGTCGGGAAGATCAAGTACTTGCCTGGTGAGGTCATTTGCCGGTTGCTTTATTGCTGTTGCAGTTTTGTTGTTGTTGTTGTTGTTGTTGTTGTTGTTGTTGTTGTTGTTGTTGCCTTCGTTGTCGTGACTTGTCGCGAGTGACCTAGGCGAGTTAGTTATCCTAGGTTCAATCATCTACGGTCGTGTGCCAACAACGGGGAGCTTCTCGCCACTTGTGCATAACAGCAGTAGCAGAACAACACACCGATTTGGACGGTTGGCCCACCTCGATTGTTCCTCGTGCCAATGTGCACCTCGTTGCTTGTCAGAGTCGGGCTCAAGCAACGCAGCAACACCCATATTGTTTCAAAAGCAAGCCGACGAATATCGTCGGCGTGCTAGTCCCAAGCTTGTTTTTTTCTTTTCTTTCTTGCGTGATGCTGGACACACCTTTTTCGCCAACGAAGGAAAACAACAACACGCGTTCCACTTGACAACTATCCATGGACGAACCCAGCAGTACCTGCTCCGCTGCTAGATGGACTAGTATTGTTGTTGGAGACCATGACTGGTTTTTCGCGCGAAGACGGTTGAGACGACCTGAGGGCTGGTCTTATCCAGATTGGCGGTCCCACACTTCACTCCCACGCCAATAGTTAAAACGGGACGCAGCACAGAAGTCTCTATTTGATTGGGTGAAATAACGACAAGACCACCCTTTTTTTTTTCCACCTGCAGTTCCAGCAAGCAATAGACTGGGCCGGAACATCCGGACTAACGTTTGAAATAACTCAAAAATCATTTTATTTGAAATCATAGTTCAGCGAAACGGAACCCAGAGTTCCCAACGGCAACCAAAATTCGGTCTATTGGAGGTAAGATGGCAAAGAGTGCACAACTGATGTCACTTTCACGCCACGTTGCAACATATGTAGCACGAGGTACAGTCTTCAAACTCGCGCACCACACACGCTCCACCATCAATCCTTGAGCACAAGATGATACCCTCCTCGCATGCTGACCAACAGCACCGCGACAAGTGGCAGCAGCAGCAAGCTGCCACCAGTGCCACAACGATGTAACCGCAGCATATGCGTATGTGCCCTCGCTTTCTATATGGCTGTGCAAGCCTTCCATCGAGTTCGTGCAATAAGGTAGGGTGTTCCCAACCCGCCCAGCTCTCAAGGGGCTCACTGGCCGTGGCCGCCCTGTCTCCCCACATCGACGCACCCAACTGCCGGCCCGCGCAGTTCTTAAGGAGGCCACTGGCCGTTGCCCCAACCACCCATTTCCGCACAATTGCAAACCAGCACCGCAACACCTCCACGGCCTATTTGTTGTTATGACTACTCAACTCAAACTCTAGGTCTGTTTTTTTTATACAAAGCGGTTAGGACCCGCCACCATTTTACTCCCACAGTTCTGTTGGATCTTCCTGTTGTAACTGTTGGATCTTCCTGTTCTAACTGTTGGTGTGGGTGTGAAGTGTGGGAGCACCAAAGTGGATAAGACCAGCCCTGACCCGCACGCACCCGAAAAAAACAGTCTTCGACCGGCCCTCAGCGGAGAGAAAAAAAATGGCACTTCTCGCAGCGCGCATCCATCCGTGCGTATGCACTGTTTGTGGCGAGGGACTCCACGCTGTCAACAACTTCCCTACTTCACGCTGTTCAACAATCTCGCTAGTCGTGCTCGCTGATGATCTGGCTGGCTAGTACGCACGACCGCACCCGAATGAAGGAGCACCGGAACGCGGACCGGTAGTTTAGTCCGGCGCTTTCGGCAAGAGCGAAATAATACCCCCGGGCGAACTTGCATTTGCAGTCACAAGAACATCATGATGATATATATATATCCTAGTTGATTGACGTACCATTTTGCTTGCCGTCAGAGATGCGCGCATCGCTACCGAGAACGAGGAATGCGTTAACCCCTCGCACTGCTTCCTATGCACATGATGAGAGTGTGCTGCCGTCGACCATATCCCTCGAGCTCACTCACAGCCAAACCCGATACATGGCGAGAAAAACATTCGCCAACAAAAAATAACATTAATTGGTGAGTGGGCGGATGGAGGACCCCAAAAAACAAAGCATGAATGAATACAAAATATATATGAATGCATATGCATTCAACCAAAAGAGAGCCGACCCCAACCCGACAGGTTTCAGCGAGGAGGCGGAAGAGAGCATAGAAAAAACACCCTCACCGCTCCAACCCCCCGGAAGCTCTCACATAGGCGCTGCAGCAAACATTATGGCCACGCCCATTACCTGGCAGCGCCCATCGGGTCACATGCAGCAGCCGGGTGCACCGGAAGCCTTGTTTACTCTGACAGCAACAAACGAAACTACGGAATGTACGGACGGACTTTCTTTGTTTTTGTGGTATTGTTGCAGTGACAACGAAAACAATGAGCATGACTAGAGAAGAGACTAAGCACCACGGAAGAACCACCTCAATACGCCTGCCTTCCGTGTTAGATGTGCACCTCTAGTCTACAAGACACGCGTCGACCGTTCTCATACCTATACTACGTGTGTACACAAGTGCAGAGATTGTGCTGCCATCGACCTTATCGCTCAAGCTCCCAATGACGTACGCAGCCAACATGCAATGCTTGCTTGCGGCGGACCGTCCGTGTGGTTAGTCTTTGTCTCGAACTGCTGTTGTTGTTCATGGATGACGACACAGACAAAAAAGCAAGAGACGCGGGTCGTTACGTATTCGCGAGCAACTCGCTGCCGTAGCAACGCGCGCAACCTACAGAGACGATTACCTTGCGAGCTTTGCAGCACATTTCGAGCATCACTCAGGTCAGCAAGAAATAAATTACCCACAAACAACGCAGATATTCAAAAATGGAAGATTGTGGCGCGCAGCACGCAGGACCTTCTTTTCGCTGTTCAATCGGCCGTTCCCATGGCGAAACGTGCAAGGAACAGTCAAGGCCGGGTCGTGTCGGCCACAGGAGGTGGTAACTGCTCAAACTCGGGGAGGCGTCATGGGTTGCAATTCCCTACCGGTCATGGGTTGCAATTCCCTACCGAACCATTCTTGAGGCGCCACGAGATTTGCACTGCAGCTCGAGATCATCATTTGAGACCCTGTCGGGCAAGGGGTGGGCTATGCGAATGAAAATGACAGGGACAGAAAAAGTGAATTTAGGCTGATAGAGATCCAAGCCCTACCAAGCTTGGGAAATTTGTAGAAGAATTTCCGTGCACCTATGATAGGGTGGCGTTGTTTCACCAGGATACGGTCGTCAGCCGCTTTTGGCCGAACATAACCTCTTTTCTCCCCTCCCACCCCATAGATGTATCCTTCCCATTCGGGGATCCCGCTCTGAGGCAAGGAATTCACCTCACGTAAAGGTTGACATTATCAGCTATGAACTGGGGGGGGTCTGCAGTTGAGCGTGCGGTCGATCAAGTGTCTAGACAGCTCCATTGCGTACCTTTTCGGTTTTTTTTAGCGTCATGGCGTGTCTTATTTCATTCGTTCGACGTTAGGTCCTTGTCTTGCAAGAATCGACGTCCAACGTTGCCCGCTCTCCCCCCCGTCCGTCCACCCGACCGTATTCGCCCGTATGTCGCTCTCGGCCTGTTCTCTTTGCCCCCTCGCTCGACCACTCAACAACGAAAACCTTGCGCTCAATAACAACCACCACAACGACAACGGCGTTATCAACAACAATAACAACAACAACGGTCACCAGAGGAGCATGGAGACGGCGCCATGCACACGATGAGGGTCATCAAGCGGGGGCTTGATCCCGGAGGCCTTATGAACCCGGGAAAAGTGCTGGCGCATCGGAGGGACCCCCAGACGGGCCGCTTGGTCCTCTGCGCGTAACGCTTGGCGTTTCGTTTTCTTCGGTTGTTTAGCTGGTTGTTCCGCTTGTTTGTTGGCTGTTATGCTATGGGCCACGCTGAAATTCCGGTCTCTGTGCTTAATGCTTTTTGACATCCGTACTCGTCTAGCTGACCCGGACGCCTGCCGTGGCCACAGGCGAGCCGCACTCCGAAAAGTGTGCAACCAAGAGAAAATGAAATGATCCAGACAACCACGCGATACAGTGTGGTAGCATATAGGGGAGAATTGAGGCCCACGAAAGTCAGGCGTCGCGGCGACAAGTCGGGCAAAAGGACAAACTGTAGAATTGTCCTTAGGTCAAGAAGCCGCGCCGTAGCAACAGTTCAGCCAAGCCTTAGGTTCGTCAGCGGACACTAAGAAGTAAATATTTAGAACCGCCTATCGTTTCTTGACGTCATAAAGTTCACTTGGACACTACGCTTGTACATACGACGAAGTAAAGTTCCTTGTCGAGTTTTTCGCCGAACCAGAACCCGGGGGCTCACTGGCTGTCGGTCAACATCAATATCGTACTAATAGGCGTTGACGAGTTCACCACCAAAAGAAGCCAATACTGCCACATCACCACCGGAAGGCAGCCAGTTCTCAACCATCGTCGTGCGAAACCAATGCCCTTTCAAGTGGGGGAAGAGAGGAAGTCAAGAAGGGTTGCCTCCATCGCCGGCGGGGGGGGGGGGTAGGAGAAGTCAGGAAGGGTTGCCTCGATCGTCGTCGTCATCGTCGTTAGTCTCACGGTCGCGCTTCACCAGGAAGGCGGCGGCGTGGTCGACGACCGACCTTCCGGACCCGTACAAGGCGGTCGTGATGGCTGTCCTGGACAGCGCGCAGATCTTGTTGTGGGAGAAGGGAGCGACGCCGCCGAAATCCACCGACACCTGCCCGTCGTGCCCCCCGTGACATTGCATCAGCAGCGAACGGTGGGGTGGAAGGCGTGATCGATAATACCTATACGAGGGCTCACGCGCCCGCCATCGGATTCCCATAGATACACACGCTGACAAATGCAGAAGGCGCCCGCACTCAAGAACCCAGGAGCTAATAAAAAATTGAGACTAAAACAAATATCAAAATTTAAGAACTTGAGCACCGTTGATGAGCTCGGTTAAGAACCCCCACACTAAAACCTATATAGCGACCATTCGTAGCATTACCCTCAGAACTAAGAACTCCAGCCTCGGCGGAAACTATTAATAGAGGTTCCTAAGTGCGGGCGCGTTCTGTGTACCTTAGTAAGCCTGCGTCACCTCGCAACCCAAGAAGCAGTAAATACCTTCTTTGTCAGTTCGTGACATCGTACCGAGACACAAAACAACGGCTAACGCAAGTACCGTGGGGGTTGGGATCATGCTACCCAAAGCTCTCCGCCGCATCGCCATTCCTGCCTGTCCTTTCAGCAGCATTCATGCGAGAAATCCTACAAACAATAGCCTCACCTTCTCCCACCCGCACGAGTTCAGCCCGGCGGCCATCTCCTCCTCCATGCTCTTTCTCGTGAGCGCCTCCTCCTTCTTAGCAGCGCCAGCCCTATCTCCCACTCCTGAGTCGCTGTCGGTCCTTGCTGCCGCCGCCGCCGCCGCCGCCCCCGCTGCGGAAACGCGGGATACCCCCACGATCGCCGCGTTCTTCGCGCCCAGCAAGCGATCCGCGAAGGTAAACGACTCCGTTCCGTCAGCAAGGGCGGCCGCGGCGCCATCCGGTGGCGACGACACGCCTCTCGAGACGACGGCGTCGCTTTCGGACACGTCCTGCTCCTCCTCCTCCTCCTCCCCCGTCTTGGCGCCGTCTCGACCTGAAGGGGATGCGTCGGAGCCGTCCCCTTCATCGGGCTCGACGAACGCCGCCGTTCCGTACGGCACCATGAAGTCCCCGCGGCGGTTCGCGTAGGCTCGCCGCCACCGGAAGGCCTTCAGCGGCCGCAGGAAGTCCTTGGTCGTGGCCATGTTGTAGAGGAGGGAGTTTTCCCGGCCGTCCTTCGCCGCCGCCGCTGGCGCCGTCGCGGCAGCCTCGCCCCCTGCCTCGCCGCCGCCGCCGCCGCTGCCTCCTTTCTTTCTGCTGAGGAAGAGGTCGTGGCCGGTCTTCCCGACAAACACGCCGGCGAGCGAGTGCAGCGGAGAGGGCAACGGGACGTAGGTGAACCTCCGCACGCCCAGGTGCGGCGTGGCGATCGTCATGAAGACCGATGGCGACAAGCCGGCTACCGTCGCCCCGGTGCCACCGTCGCCGCCGGTGGTCTCATCGCGGTAGAGGAGCTTCGCCGCGTACCGCACGTACAGCCCCCCCAGGCTGTTTCCCACCAGGCTAATGCGGGAGAGGGACGGCGTGGATTGCACCACTTCGAGGATCTGCGGGGCGGTCGGGGGAAAGGGGGTGGGCATGAGGAATAAAATGCAAATGCGAATCGAACTGAATCGAAAATCTGCCGTATGTCGTGCCGCAGGCGCCGCCGACAATCTGTGCTGCGCCTCCTTGGTCTGTTTCGTCATTAACGCGCTGCTACACGTTGAACCCACACACTCGAACTTCAAGCGCATCCTGCCTATCATATTCTGAAACTTGTTCGAGGTCTTCGTCACGAACACCGGAAGCACTCTTGCCGCCCACCCCGATCAAGAACCGTTTCCAACCAGAGGCAAAACGAATACACACAGCAGCACCAAGCGCTCCTACAATCAAAGAAACACAGTCAGTCGTCGTTTCCGCAAACCGACGGACCTCCTCCGCCAAGCGCGAACCCCCCTCGACGACGCCATCCTTGGTCTTCCCCTCGTTCCGCCTCGCCGAGTGCACCAGAATCTCGGAGCCGCCCTCCCGTTCCAAGCTCTGCTTGAGATAGGTTAGGTCCTCGGGTGTACCGGACAGTCCGTGGGCTACGTACATGCGAGGCAGCGCAAGGAGATATTGTTTTTTTTGGGGGGGAGTTGTTTGTTGGGGCGGGGTTGCCGGCGGGAAGGTGGGCGTGGCGTGGCGTTCGAGCTAACACTTGGTACGCTCGAGGATAAATCTTGGTATGTTCGAGGAACAAACTTCAACTTTTGCGTCCGATAGGCGTCCGCCCTAGTCCTGCAGATTGCCATGGCCTGCATACGAGGATGGCTTGTCAGACAGAACTTGGGTACTACCAGGCGCGCGCGTGGGGGAGGCGGGGGGTGAAAAAACACCACTTGAATGAACACACACACGTTGACCACCGCCGGAGCGATGTTGATCTCGACCGACCCTCACAACAACGCGATGGTGGCGGCATTTGCAGTACGTAAAATGGACAAACATCGAGTCACTGCATGTCTCACCGAGGACCACAAGGTGTGCCGGCAAACCCTTATCGTCAACCTTCGTGTCGACACCGGGAGCTGCTGCCGTAGTGGCGTCTGCTGCCAGCGCCGGGGGCGGGAGATGAGGTCGTTCCGACCCCGCCACGGTCGCATCAGCCACGTCGGGTTTGGCTGCCCGTGTTACTGCTGCTGCGGCCGGTGGCGGTGGCGGCGGTGTCGCGCTCATCGGGCTAGCAGCAACAGGAACCAGGTTGTGTGTGTCCATCGATCGGGAGGCAGAGATGGCATAGGCGTTATATCCAACGAGACGGGAGGTTAGGGCCGAGCGCGTTAGCGGGATAGCCAAGTCCGGCTTACATGTGTGGTGTACCACATGATGGTGAAACGTGTTGAACGCCCTCTTGTGCGATTGGGACAGCATCTGCGGGAGTCTGGTGTTTCGATACATCGCTGTGAATATACACGTTCCATGCGCAAAATATCACTGCAGCAACGTAAAACCCGAGCCGTATTTTGAAGGTGTGTGGACAACACGAATCCGCTCTACCCCAAGTTGTTGTTGAAGAACATGTTCAAAGCACGTACATAAACACGAGTTATGATGGCCGCCGCACAAATTCGAAAGTAACAGATGTGCTGTACCGCAGTTGAGCGAGATGGTTAGGCTGGTAGAAAGTAGGAGATGCCGCTACTCCTCATTGGCTGTAGGCTACAGTGCAGTCCGTACCAAAGGAGTATAAGGGGCTATTGACTTCACGAATCCGCCCCGCCCCGCCCGCGTCCCCCTCCCCGCCCCTCCTCAAATTGCAGGATAAGGCAAATAGCCGGCGCCAGCACACAGCAAAGGTCCAGGAACTGCACACCTACACACTAACTGTCAACTTCTGCGTCTGATGCCGCGTTGATGTTGCGAAGCAATGATCAATGCCGCATGGCTGAACTACTCACAATGCGGCAGCCCGAACAGCGAGGAAGGTAAGGACGTGCAGCAGGTATACCGGGACGGGAGAGTACTTCATAGGTTGTGTAGCAAGCCAGCCGTGCGCCTGGGTATCCCGCCGGCGTTGGAGCGGACGGCAGTCAGGAGGGTTGTCGACATGCTCCAGGGAGGGAGTTGGACCGTGACGCGGCGAAATAGAGGGGACGAGCCGTTGCGAAGGGCAACTCAAGCCGCACTTCGCATGTCCGAACCAGTCTGTTCGTCTCGACACTATTACGCGCTGTAGGTCCCCGGGAAACTTTCAGTGCTGGTTGCTGGTACGTTCAGTATCAGGCAGGCGTCACAGGGTCCCCACTGCCGTAAGGAAGCCTCCCATTGAGGACTGCGATGCATGCCCTATCTACAACAAGTTGAAGTACAATCACTCTCCAGTTTGCCATACATTCACGCAAACATGTTACACCATTCGGACCTCGACGCTCTATTGTTCATCTGAGTGCAGCTGAGAACAACGCGATTGCATTATTGCCAGGGGTGTACCATGAGTAAGACTGCCACTCCCATCGCTACGGCCGCTGCCGCCAACGCCGCCGCCAAGAAACGCCGCCAAAACGACGACGACGCAAGGCTCATCAAGCTCGGCCGCGAGCGAGACTTATCGACAGCGCCGGCGTGGATCGGTTTCCCGGGTCTGTCCGGGGTCGATCTCACGCAGACTCAGACCTTCCCCGTTGACAAGAAAGCCCGTCCTCGGAAGCGGCGGTGGGGTGAAGACTGGCGGGAGCTCGTCATTGGGGCGTCCCCCTACAATAAGGTAAGCGAGCACGAAACCGTAACCTTTGGAAGCCGAGCAGTCATACATATTTATGTAGTCAACGGGATGTGATTAAGCGCACGTGCGGATATCATAGCGGTTCTCCGCTCACCGCGCACATTTGCACCTGTAGCCCATCGTTGGGGCGAAATCCACTGCTTTGAACGCACGCAGTTTGGATGCCGCTAAAAATCCAGTCTCAATACACGATCAAAAGAACGGCGCTGTCAAACGGACGTCGGCTTCTCTACATTGCTCGATGGACCCTCTTCCCTTATTTGCAGCATCTTGTGGCGGTGAAAGGATGTGGACAGTCTTTCCGTGAACGTATGTGTATTTCTAAGGATGTATGTACACACGCAACCACCGGAACGCCATACCTTCCCGGAGTCGACGTGCCTTTGCCCACGTATTGACAAGACTAGGCTGCAGTCTAGAGTCTCGGTGTATTGCATATATTTTCGGTCGCCGCAAACGTTGTTTCGCAGAATGTGGCGCCGGTCCCGGAGCAACCAGTCATCACTGTGCAGGAGGTGGTCGCTCGAAAGATGCTCAAGCTTCGCACAAAGCTAGGTATCACCACCGACGATCTCCTGCCAGTCTCCGCAGCCTTTGAATCCGAGAAAGAATTCGAGCCACATGGGCAACGACGCTCAGGCCAACGGCATGGTGCCCCAAGCGGGCAAGACGAGGCGAATGTGGACGACGGTAGTGGTCGCGCTAGGCCGATTACTGCAAACAGTGGCCGGTGTGAAACAGCCACACCGGCCACACCAGATATTAGGCGCTGGAAAAAGGAGGCGGATGACATGCTGAGCCTGCTCGGAACGAATGCCGACAAGTGTAACCATGACTACCCGATGACGGAGCTCAGGCGAAAGGTGTCCTCGCCCTCGGTATTCGTAGATATCACCCCTCTCTAGAATTGAAGGAGCCCGTGAAGGATGTGCCACAGATGTATTATTTCTTGTGTCGGCAGGGCACGTTGTCCCACCCAGCTTCGGGGGGGAGAACGCCCCGACATTTCTACGGGGCTCAATTTCCATGCGTAGTAGATGTTTTACCCTCTTGGTTCTCCATGTCCAATCCATTTCCCTCTGTGCTTTTCGGCGTACATGTGGGAGGGGCAAACGAGTTGTGTGAGAAAAGATCGCCTAGCCGAACTGGGGTTCTGGGAATTGTGTAGCTTTGGCGCATGGCATGCCCTGCCGTACGTGGCCCTCGGTGAAGTAAGCGCCATGTCGGCAAAAGAACCTTATCGCTACACCCACTCTCCAACGATGAATACATTCCCGTCTTCTTGTCTCCTAGATGGCTTCGTCGCCGCCAGCCAACACTGCCGGGCAACAACAGTACAGGCAAGGCCACCAACGCCACCCATCAACACAGGCGCCACTTCTGCTGCCAAATTCTTCGTCAGCACCGATATCACCCAGACCCACTGGCGGCAGCCGCGGCGCCAGCCGTCGAGCAGCCACCGAGCAACGCACAGACCGGAGGGGACAAGGGAGAGATACTTGCTACCGTCTGCCGCAGTACCGGCACCACACACCTTGGCCTCGCCCCCGTCCTTCGGCGGAGGCGGCGGCGAAGGCGCGGGCGGGAAGACGGGCCAGGGCCGAGAGGGGGGCGTCCACAGCGGCGGACGCTCGAGCGGAGATTGAAGAGAAGGTGTGCGCGAAAAATGCGGTCCGCTGTGGTTCTCTTGCTGCTCGTTATTTTGATGTGTTGTGCTGCGTACTATATTGCGTGACGTGGTGCAAGATGTTGGGATAATTTGGCAGCGACGGGTGGGCTCCACGTCGCTTCGCCCTTGTGTGCCAGCACTCCTAGAGCGCATGTAGGGACACGATTTAGGAGCCGTTAGCTAGACGCTTTCAGAACTGCAAGTTGCGTCCGTAATGAAGGCTTTCAAGTTTCCGGTCTGTCCAACGGCGGGGTATGTTCCTAAGAACCTTGTGCGAAGTCTGGAAATACTGGGTTTAAAAGTCGACTACTCCGGGTCCGCTGCGGATACGGCTGGCATGAACGAGGTTACGTCCCACGAGCCTCTTGTGTTGTTTGTCCCTCGCTAGTTCAGGAGCTGGCAGAACGATCCCCTTCGACACACTGACCAACGCAAGCGAGTCTACCCACCGAAAGCAAGGGTAGGTTATGTCACCAGTCGTCTTTCGTCTCTTGCTCGGGTTGGAGAATACGATAGCCTTATACGTCCAGCCTGCTGCATGCCGTGCTCCCCCGAACTCCATCACACAACGTCCCTTGTCGGACTGTCCGTCATGCGTTTGACGTACTTCTTACCGTCACAGGTGTCCACGAGTCTGCTTGGCGTCGTTCCAGAGGAGTTTTGTCGTGACGCACCGCCAGCGGTAGAACCGTCGTCGTCGTCGTCGTCGCTGAAAGCAGTGACTGTGGCAGCAGGAGCGAGGGCAACCAATAGCGCAGAGGATGCCGCCGATGGCGCGGGAAGTGGGCGACGGCCGATCAAGATCGCTGTGGAAAGTTCTGCTACGACCGGCTCAAGGTGGGGAATGACTCGGTTGGTGTATTGATTTGCTCGTTTTGGTCGCTGAGCATGCAACATCCTTGTAACGGTTGAATGCTCTAGGCTGGAGGGTGTTCGCGTTGATCATAGAGGGATGCGCCGGAGACAACCACTGCATAGCTACTATCCAGGGCGGCTCTTGATGGGAGTCAGGAGAAGATTGGTTGTGAATGTTGAGAAACACCAATTTGTCGTACTCTTTCATGGCGACACAGCAGCCTCAGTCACCTTTGCCAATGCTCTCTTGGAGTCTGTTCTTACGCGGTGTTTAATATTACCTTTTCTATGAGTTGAAGTAGCCTTGTTAACTGGAATGGTATTCCAGCCGGTCGAAGCCTGTCTTCTGCTCTGCTCCAGAAGTACTGAAGTACAGCGCTGACAACCTATGCGAACGTGTGCGCTCTACGCGTATCATTTGCATCTCGCGACGTCGCAGAGATGTTTCCTCTTCGCTAGCTGCCCCTGCTGCTACTGGAGGTGGTGACTGCGTTGTGGCTGGCGCCGCCCACCAGAGAGGCCTCCCGACGAAGGCCTCCGGGCCGCCCTACTCAGACCAACAACAACAGCACGCGTCAAGACCAAAGCGCCAGCGCGGAGCGACCGCCACTGCCACGGCCAGCGGTGATGGCGAAAGGAGGAACGGAGAGAGATCTCGACGTCGTCTCGCTGCTTTTCTCGAAGACCAGGCTTCGTCCACGACGGCAGCGGCAGCAGGTACGGCACGCCAAGGTTCCGGGTCGCCAAAGTCCCCGCCCCGGGCCGTAACGATGGTTGCGGGTGGACGTGGCGGCCGTTCAGACGGGGGCGCAGTCGGAGGTGGTGGCCGTGCCGAAGAAGGACAGCCATGCGATGGGAGCAACAGGTGTGGTGTAGCCTGCAGGCTTGTTTGGAAGCGCCTTTGTGCTGAGGACACGATTGTGTGCATTGTGACATACAGTACTACTGTCTTTCCACCCTGATATATCCCTTGGTTGTGGGCAATGGTGTGCCCATCTTTCCCCCCTGCCCAGATTGATTCATTCTATTGCACCGTTAGAAATCTTGCAGCGAGTGTGTGCAGCGAGCACGAGCATGGGAACCACAAAAGAGCCAGGCGCAATCGCGTTTCTTTGGCCACTTTCGTTGTGATGACAAAGCTTGTTTTCTCGCCAAGCGTGTTCCCGCGGTAAGCCGATGCTCTCTTTCGGTTTGTTTCACCGCTGCGCTTGTTTCTTCGAAGAAACGTTTCGTTGTTCAAAATCGTTTCGTTCAAAACACCGCCCTCGCCTTTTCGTCTCTTCATTTCAATTTTTTTGTTTGCTTTCTCTGTTTGGCCTCAAATCGCCGCCAGCGCCGTCACCGCCGGGCGCAAGGACCAAACCTTCTTCGGGCTGGGGGGGGACGCGCTGGAGCCAACCCCCCCCTCCGAGAGCATGACCGCCAACTTTGTCGGCCTCCTCGAGGGCTCGCTCGGCCTCGGCGTGTGGACCGACCCCGTCGCATCCCAGTTGGCGAGACCCCTGAACGCCGTTCTCGCCTACCTTCCTCCGGAGGGCGCACGGGTAAGGGAGGATTTGTTGTCGTGCCACCTTCAGGTTTAGGCTTGTGCTTTTGTGCGGTGACAACAAACTCGATGCGAGTCAGGAGAACCCGTGTGAGTTCTCGCTTGACGTGTTCTGAAGGGCAAGTGCGGGTGAGCATCTTGGCACCCGGGCTGAGACTGAGCTAATTGGGTGGTTGGTTGGGGTAGGGGCTAGACAAGACTTGAATGGTTGGCGGATACCGAATGCGATGCCCTCCTCCCCGGTGCTGCGGAGAGGCAATCACAAGGCTCGGCTTACTACCATTTCGAAAACGTCGCGGAAATCTGCTCAGAGCTAGCGTTCGGTGCAGGCAGCGACGTTGTGGAAGTATACCTGTATCCGACGCAGCTCCCACCGAAAGCCAAAGGGGAGGCGACCTGAACAGGTACACGTTCGGCGCTGCCCAATAACCACCTGCTCGAGGGGTGTTGACAAGAACACGTCGCTCCGCTGGGCAAAGATTCTCTTCTTTTGTCGAGAGACGTTCTGCAGGGTGTAATATCTCTTCTTCGCGCCCTTGCCCCAGCAAATCCTTTGACATAAAACCACACGTGTTACTGTTGTTCATTGTGTTGGCAACCCCCTTCTCTTTGCTTTTGGAAACAATTTCAAGCGAGAAACATACCTTCACTAAGACGATAAATTGAGTTTCCTGTCTCCCTCTCCCCAACCCTGACCCTTCCAATTACGTCAACGAAAGCTGTTCGATGAGTCTGGCCGTCGCTTCACGCCCCCCGGCGGCAGCCACGAAGCCGAAGCGAACCTCCCCCCGGACAATGAGCCCTCCGCGGCGCACGCAACATCCCCGGACGGGAGGAAGAAGAAGACAGCAACAGCGACGGCGACAACGACCAGCGGCATCAAAGCGGCGCCAACCGGAGCCGGAAGAGGCCCAACAACGCAAGGAGCCGCGTGTATTTCGGCGCCCGGTACTGCTGCGTCTTCGCTCCTCACCGTCACGATGGAGCGCGGGACCGCCGAGGAGGCGCCCCGCGCGGTCTGGCTGGGGCAGGTCGCGGCGGTGATGGAGGCCAGGGGGGACCGGGACGAGGCGGTCCGGCTCTACGGGGAGGCGGCGGCAGAGCTCACGGGGAAAAGAGAAGGCGCCAGTCGCATTGGCTCTCGGGACGGTAGTGGTGGCACTGCGAGCCCATGCCCCCCTGCTGCAGGAAAGGGTCGCTCCGCCCAACTCGGGGGCGGCGATCGCGGCGTTGGTGCTGGAGCCGGCCCGGATTTGTTCCCGTACTCTGCTAGAGCCCACTACCTCGCTTCTATCATCGAGCGCACCTATCGCCGACACTTCCTCAGGCACGTCACATTTCCATCGGGGACCAAACTGCGCAGGCAGTGCGCGACTCGAACGTGAAGTACCATAACCCTGTTGCCTCGGCCCAGGCTTCCTTTAATAACCCTTGAACAGGAAGAACGAAAAATACGAGATTACCGACTAACCCTCAAAATGCCAAACCACGCGAAACCTCCCGCGCGTGAAACAGACGAACCGCCGCCCAGACGCTCGCCGCCGCTGCGTTCCGTGGGCACCTGGCCCGCGTCGGCGCCCGGAAGGACAAAACTCACCGGAGCAGCGCGGCAACGTTCGTGGCGAGGGCTTGGCGCCGGCGGATGTACCGGCTAGGCCTCGCGACTGTGAAGTTTCAAGCGATCATACGAGGGGCCCACGGAAGGCGCAAGGCTAGAGAGATTCGGATCTTGATCCGGCACACCATCTCGGCGCAGTCGGTGGTGAGGAAGAGAGTGGGGTATTGAAGGGACGTGAGGGTGTTGGGTCTGAGCGATGCGCAACGCGTCCACCCAAACCTAGAGAGAGCTGGAAAATGTTTCGGCACAGTCTAGGCGCGACAGTATGTGAACCACCACCCTCTGCGGATGAAAAGAGTTTGGCCATGCCCCTAGCTGAGATGGCGGGGGTCCCGGCCCAACCTCCTTTGTCTAGCCATACGACATATCGGTTCCGGGAACGTTGGACTTGGAAACAGGTCCGAATGTTCCTGGCGAAGCGAACGACCCAACGAATGCGCCTTGAGGAGGCCTCCGCTGGACTCCTGCAGGCCTTGCACAGGGGATTCGTCCTGAGGAGGGTGAGGGCGACGGCGATCTCGGAGATTCACACTAGCCTGTGGCGGGCGGCCCTAGGTACGTGCACACATCGTTTTTCGGGTAATAAAGCCTGCCTTTATTTGTTGTACACACAGGCACTTCTTCGATTGTGCGTCGGTTCTTCAGAGGATGCCTCTGGCTGTCGTTGTTGAAGTTGTCGTTGGTGTCGATGTCTTCGCTTTCAGGATCTCCCATGTCTTCATGACTGACCCCAGGCTAGCAAGGGAGATAACAGGACAGATCCCGTTCGGACTGCAGCAACGGCCCGAGCCAAGGCCTGACTCAACACATGCACGTGCTACTGCCACATAGTACCAACCCCCTGGTTTCCCACACGGCATGACGTAGTCGTTAGCCACACTATGGTGATGTCACTACTTCCCCATCCCCCCTCGGCCTTCAAAGGGTGTATTGATGAGGGAGGCATGTTGGCTTTGATACGTGATAAGCACTTGGCTCCGTGTGTCACTGTATGCGGCAACATGTCTGGTTCTTCCGTGTTGCGGAACCGCTTTTGTGCATCAGGACATAAGGGCGCGCGCCCCTCCTACCACCATCACTTGTTCAAGATTCAAATTTAGACGCTTTATATGGCGTACCACCTCATGTAATATACCTATCTTGTCACAACACAGCGATTGTCAGGGGCCCACCTTTAACTAAGCCACCACCCCCTTCTCTCCCAGAAACATTCACTCCGGTGTTCGCCCGGACGCATCGAGGGCTGGCCCTCTGTGCGTGTGACAACCAAACGCGTCTACGTAGCCCCACGATGCTCTCTGTCGTGTCGTCACAAATACGAGTTGCAGGGCTCAACCGCGTGGCCCGAGGCTTCTTGCACCGGCGCTTCGCCGGGATGGTGAGGCAGTTCGCCGTGGACGGGGAGATAACCCGGTGCGAGGCGGAAGCGGCGGCGGTAGGAGGAGCTGTGCGACTGGCGACCACGAGGGCCGACATGTACTTGACGGTAAGAGAGTGCTGCATAGGAGGGAGACCAGGCGCATGGTCATCACCCATTGACGGCACCCACGTTTGCCCAAAGTCCATCAATGGCCTACTGTCACATCACCCACCCAGAACCACAAAACAAGAACAAGAACAACAACAGCAACAATCCCAACAAACATCTACTCCTTTTCCCCCCGCAACTGGTTGCGTGCAGACAGACGCAGGAAAAGTTGAACTAGCGCAGGAGATGAGGCGCGCGAAGGCTGCCGTCGTTCGAACCAAGATCCTGATGCGAGGCGCGTCTCCGGAGGAGCGGCGACGAGCGAGCGCGCACGATGTGTTCGATTCTTTCGACCTCGATGGCTCTGGCACCATCGATGTGAGACGGGGGTCTCGAGTCAGGGGGAGTGCGAAAGAGGGAGCAAACTCTCGGCCACCGTTGCCGGGGTACTTTTTCCCACAGTCGCAGTTGGTGCCAAGTACTATTTGCGAAATATTGCACCGGGATGTCAGGGATGTCAGGCATAAATGATGCGTTGCGTTCGCGTCAAGGCGTATCGGCTCAAAGATACCAGTTCGTCCGAGTCGTTCCCTTCCATCCCCCTTCCCATACCCCGTCGAACCCCTATGGACCATCGTTCATGCCTCTTCACTCTAGAATGATGGACCCAGCCATACCAAACAAAATGACCTCGCAAGTGTTGCGTGCCCTCAAACCCACTCAGCACACGGAGCTAAAGGCCCTCCTAGGCGCTCTGGGCGTTGGGATCACCAACGCGGAACTGAAGGTAACTTCGGCCGCCGTCGATGCCGACGGTAGCGGGGAGATCAGTTTCTCCGAGTTCTACGCTTGGTTCGGTGGGGGTGGCTTCCATGGTGGCGGTGATTACGGCGTGGGTGAAGCCCTCGGGTTTCGTGGTATGACGAGCGACACATCAGAGAACTGGAGTCTTCGCAGCAGTCCAAGCCTTTCCACTGCGAGAAGTGGAATGGAAGAGTCCACCGCGGCGTTGACGTCCGGGTACCGATCAGCCGAGGGAAACGGGGGGCCGAGACACACGGCTCGCGCAACTTTTGTGAAGGTGACCAAGAAAGCCCAGGGTTGTTGTATCAGAAGTAGTAGTTGGCGTGGTGAAGAAATGACGACGGCATTCTCAGCGGCTTTGTCTTCGCTGCCTAGACAAGAAGTGGAAGTAGTTGAAAATGAACGAACAATTCCGTTCCTTGCTGAAGGTACGTCTGTTTTAGTCTAGAATTCTGTCAGACACCGCGAGCGGGATGTTACCTTTCTTACCTATACCGGGGGGACCGATCCCGACCTTCAAATTTCGTTGAAGTGAATGTCTCCCCGTCCCTCACCCTAAGGAATTTTTTTCAGAACATAATCCAAGGTTCCCCTGCCGATTTACACTCCACGCCTGCACCCCCAAGCATTTGCTCTGGTCCCAATACCGGTTCACCGCGCTTGCCGTTTTGGTTGTTGCTCCCACGAACGGATCCTTCGAAGTATCTTTCTCTCCGGTCACACGCCAGCACGTGCCCTACAACTTGTGCTCTTTGACAGGCACGCCGAAACCTCCGAGCGGCCACGGGCATGGCCTTGCAGGACCGGGCCCGTCGCAGCGTCATCCGTCGTTGGGTGTCCTTGGCCGCCCGGGAAGCGCAGGTATCCAGAATGCCCCCATACTGTGTACCGCAGGTTTTGACTTCCAAACGATAGCGTAACTTGTATTGAATGAAAGAGAGGGACGGCTGAACCTGTAATCGCGAGTGCCTAGAGTTGAGATGCCGGTTTTGTGTAAATGTGGCCGGCGAGTGAGTGCTTCAAGTGGTTCATGGCTAGGGGCTTTCGTCCACTCGCCTTCTAACGGTTGCAAGGCTTCTCAAAACCAAACATTTTGGTACACTGAGGTCTACTCCTTGAGTAGCAAGCGAGCCAAGAGCCTGAGAATGCCACCTGCTTGGTATTTAATTGCAAAGGTCTCTGAACGTACACGCCGCACTGCTTTCGGCTTCTGAACATATTGTCCTCAATAGCCTACTCTCGTGAAGAACTTTTCGACTCCTCCCCCGCCCCCTCCTTTCCGTAATACTCCCTCTTTATCACCGAAGGTACGATTCCGAGAGGCTTGGCCCCCTACCCTGGAGTGCTGGGCATGCCACCAGGCCTTCGCTTTGTACGGTGACTACTGGCGACACTTCGGGGGCGGCAGGTACACAGGGCGAAAAAATGTACCGAGAAACAAACACGTAGTGGTTGAATCTCAATCGAAGTAATTTGTTTTTGTTGCGCACTCGAACCGATTGAATAGTGGTGTTGATAGCAAGTGCTACATAGAACAGTTGAGAGATGGTGGACACGACTCCAGCCATTCGAAACGGCTATCCTTCAGTGCGACGACGTCCACCAGCTCAAAGAGCATCCTTGAGGGTTCTTCAAGGGATGCGGTAACTGAAGAGCGATCACCCCCTCGTCACCCCCGTTCGCACCGCCGCCTCCTCGACCCTCAAGCCACGCACGCTCCACCTGCTTCTCGTTAACTCCACCCTCTTCTTCTCTCTCGTTTTACCCTTTACGCTGGACGATCCACCCACTACAAGTCTCGCTCGTGGTGCCGGTCTCACATGCGGGAAAGAACTCGAGGGGACGCTGGAACGGCGAAGAATGGAGCAGCAACCCCACCACCACCACCACCAGCAGCAGAAGCAACGTCTGCAGCGTGGCCGTCTGTTTCTCGACCCGACTACCGCCGTCAGAGAAGAGCAGCACCGACGACGGGGCGCGGAGCGGCAGTGGGCGCGGCTGCTGGATGAGAGGAGCCGCCTGGCGGCCGCCGGGCTCAGGGCGGAGGCCGCCGAAGAAGCCAGAATCGCACCAAAGGTGTGAAGGAAAGTTGGAAAATGAGTGCGATGGCCCTTGCACCGTGCTCACGACAACGCTCCCAAGAGATTGACAAATGGCCGCGATGATTCGAGGTAGACACGAGTAAATGCCCAACACCTGGCGAAGATGTCGACGGGCAACAACAACAAATGCTCCGTGGTAGTAGCGATAACATCGGAAGCGACGGAGAAAGCACGACATAAGACTTCTTGGTCTAAGAACAACGATCGCAGTCTTTTCGTCAGCTATGGGATCTTACGATTCATTTGGTCGAGGGTTGGTCGTAGACATGAACGCATTCATGGTGTAACCTTGAAAGTTGTTGCAAATCACCGCCATGCCCGACATGCTCTGTGTCACATGTACCTTTGTTCAATAATAGTGGTGTACCGAGCAAGCATGATATTTAGCACTGGCTACATCTCTAGACGTTCTTGGTGCCCGGAACGTTTCCACTCTCAAGCGTACGACCCTAGCTGCGTGTTGACACCACCGCCAACCGCACCATCGCTGTATTCTTCGCTCGTTCCGTTCCCACGTCGGGCTTTCGAGACTAAAACAAAACTCTGTGATGCCAAACTTCAGGGTAGCGCTGGCGCGCACGAGCACGCAGCTCTCGGGGCAAGGTTGCTTGCGGCCCTATCGTCCGACCTCAAGCGTGGCGGGGGTAAAAGTGGTTCCTCGGAAGAAGAAGCAGTCCCAACGACTGAGGAGGCGACGGCGACGGTTGCGCGTCTAGCTTTTCAGGTATGTGTCGGGGGGGGGGCGTCGGCCTTTCTCCCAATGTTGCTACATTTAGTTGTCTTTCCCCTCATCCGTGCTCGGTGCGGAATGCGTTCGATTGTCGGAAGAAACTCTACTTGAAGTAGTATTGCCGCGGGACAAAGGTGTGGACAAAAGAAGGGTTTCGAGGGGACTTGTGGGTACATTAGTACGCAGATTTGAAGATCGGTGGTGGACGTTTAAATACCGAGACGGGTAAGACTTGCTTCGTACAGGCTCACGCATAGGCGCATATGAGGGGGTGGTGGTGGGTGAGATTATTAAGCTACAGTGCGCAGTAAGACGGGGGGTTTCGTGGATGGGACCTGGAAAATTAGAACAATGAACGGAAGCGCGCCTCTTGGCCAGAGAACAGAACGCCGTGTGTCGATTTCGGGCGCTCGAACATACCCAGAAAGCTACACGTGAACTGCAATTCTCAGCAGAAACGGTTGTTTTTGAACCAATACCACCCCTAAGCTTATCACAATGCTCTGTCCTCTCGAGGACGCGTGGTCGACGGTCACAGAACTAAGGCATGAAAAGCATGAGTACGCCCCTTAGATCATCAAGTTCGAGTCCCAAAATGACGCTTTCTCCACCGGGTAACGCAGGCGTTCGATCGAGACGGGAACGGCGAACTCGATGTGTCCGACCTCGCGGATCTGCTGGGGGTGCTCCGGCGGATCGCGGGAAGGCCGCCCTCCGCACGCACGGCCTTGGGTTCGGGTGCTGCCGCAGCCGGGTACGGGCTTGAGGCGGCCATGTTTGCGATGGACGAAGACCATAGCGGCCAGGTACGGATTGAGATACAGCCAGGCCGATATAGGACAATCTATCTGTAGCTGCACCGTGATCAGGTTCCATTGCTGTACAAGGCACCGGAGAAGAAGCCCTGGCCGTCTCACCCCATCCCCTTCCCCCACTACTACTGTGCCGGGATTTCCCGTCCTGCCCTTGATGGATTCCCTTCAGGTCGATATCGACGAGTTCATGCGGTGGTTCAACGGGTACGACGCACACGACGGGGCTAACCGGTCGACAGCACCCGGAGAACTACCTCAGCGTGGGAGGGAGTCGGAGGAGCCGCTCTACGTCAAAGTCCTCGGCGTGCGCAATGGCGCGACCGGCGGGACTAATGCGCAAGAAGATCGCGAAGCGAACCACGAAGAGGACGCAGACGACGGCAGTAGCGGTAGCGACAGTAGCGGTGGTAGTAGCGACTCTTCGTCCTTGTCATCGGTTTCGGCGTCAACAGCCGACGAAGATGACACGGTAGGGGCACGTGCGTCGGGCGACCCCAAGTCTGCCAAGAACGAAAAAAGGCCGGCAGCAGGAGGCGTTTTCCGTGTTCGAGCGTGGTTAAAACGGAAGGCACCGGCGACAACCAACGGGAGCCAACGCAAGCAAACCAAGCGCAAGCGGTGGGACGAGAAGGAAGAAGAGCAGGAAGAAGACACATCGAACTCGACCGACGGTGGCGACAGCGAGAAGGGAGAAAGCGGAGCAAAGAAACGGCGTCGTCCCAGCGTTGGGGGCAGCAACACCGGAGATGGTTCGTTCGCGTCCCCATCTTCGGCGAACCGTTCCGTTGCCGAAACCCGCGCCAGAGGCGCACCGTTCTCCCCCCGTCGCTTGCTGGGCGACCGGTGGTCTTCATCCACAGCCGACCCTTGGAAAAGGCACGCCAAGACGTTAAGGGCGGTGGCGGAGCAGGAGGCCAGGACTCTACTGCTTCGGAGAGCAAGACTCAGGGCGCAGGTGAGCCCCTGTATACCGGTGGTGTCGTTTCGTGGTTTTCGCTCGCGTCGGCGCTGGGGGTGAATGGGACCGTTGTTCATGGGTGTTACTGGTTCTGTTGTTGCAGTTGTCGTGGTCGTCGCGTTTAGCGTTGTTGGCGCTGCTCTCGGGGTTGTTTCTAGCAGGGGGGCAGAAGGGTAGCGGCGGAAAATTATCAGACCACACCCGGCACAATCATTGTAGCCGCAATTGAACACGGATCCCGTAAATGCCCGCGACCTTCCGGCAACCTCAGGTTCATGAATTGGCTCGATTTCGGGCGACAAGACCACCGGAGTACGACGAATGGAGCTCGCCGGACTTCCTGGAAAAGCACAGAGAGACTGTGGCGGAGATAACGGCAGATGCCGACTCTATTTTCGTGGAAAACCTACACCGGAATCTAAGGTTCGAGGGGCTCGGTTAATGGGGAGCAAACCAGTGTGGTGCTCTGCCAAACGAGCTTTGGATTGGGATTCCACCAAGGTAGAGGGGGCTCGTGTTTTGATGAGGCTCAACCTGACTTGAAGGAAGCTGATGTTTTGGGCTAGATCACAGGGCACCGATTCCATCCTTAGTCGGGGAAACTTTCCTTTCCACATCAACGGTATCGACGCGACGGTTGCTGGCCTTGGGAAGTGCTTGGGTAGCATTGCACGGGGGTACATCAAAGGATTCTAGGTTTGAGCAACGAACGCTGCAGTTGTCGCGAAACTGGTACTGCGGAGCTGGTTCGCGTATGTATTCAGAAATTGCTGGGAGTTGACAGCCTCAGTCAATACCAACTACCGACTTCACTCTAGAAAAGGCTGGATCATTCATAGTTCTACGGCAGAAAGGAACGAACAAGACGCGCCCCAGTCTGTGCATCACAGCGTCAGACCGCGATTGTGACTAGTTTGTTTCTTGCGACAGAAAACACTATTTTCACCCGGACCTCTTCACTTTTCATCTTGACAGCACATGGTACTCCTTTTGATGTCGCCCTACGCGTATCCAAACTGCCAAAGGGAGGCCGAAGAAGCGGTTCAGCACGGCCTTTCGAAGGAGCGCTCGGTGCCGTCGCCCTTGCCTCCGCCCGACCCTGGTATCAGCGCCGCCAACGCCACCACTGCCGCTGCCGCTGCTGCTCTCCATTCCGACGGGAGTGGTAATCTCGCGACCGCCATTGGGGTGGATGGCGGCAGCGTCGGCGCCCTCGCCTCCTCGCCTTCCCGCTTGGCTTGGTCGTTAGGCGGAAGAAAGTGGTGGGGGCGCCGCGGTGGCGGTCGCGGCACGGGTACTCAAGTATATGCTCCTGGCACCTGGGGAGAGCGACAGCCGACCGCTGATATCGCTGAGACTGTCAAGGCCGCGGAGGTGAGGGAGAAAAACCAGATAACATGTAGGTACAGGTGCCCTCCAGCTGGTCGGTCGCCGACATTCGAACCTCGGACACCAACTTGTTCTTCCCCGGTCGTCGGTTGCCATTGCCGCTTTTCTTCACCGTTTGTGTTTTGCACCCGTTTTCCTTTCTACGATCCTGCCCCCACATTTCCGCGCCGCTATTAGTGCAAAAACATTCAGGTTAGACGCATCGTTGTGATAGATTCTGCCCAGAATGGAGGTGATCTTTGTAAAACGCGAAACAGCGTCGGTGCGTCCAAGGACCCAATGTCCGCACGTCACCCCTTTCCACTTTTTGCTCTTTCTCTCTTTCTGTCCCTGTCTTTCTCACCCCACACACCCTTCGTCTCGTGCTTGGCCGGTTACCACAGAGAGATGCGGCAGCCGCTCGTCGCAGAGCCTTTCAGACACCCACCGGGCGGGCCGAGATTGCCAGAGCAGTTCGACGACTGAAAGCTAGCCGCGTTATTGCCGCGACGTCAAACACGGTGGCGGCGGCGGCGGAAGCGGGTGGAGAAGCTCCGCAAACCAATACAGCACAAGGCACCCACGAGGAGAGACAAACTGTGGTGACTCAGGTGGCAGCGGCGGGAGCGGTAAGCGAGGGAGCTACGTGGGGGGCGCCAGCCAACGCGGGATTGAGCGAGGACGCGGGGGCGAAACATACGGCATCAGTGGCTAAACTCTCTACTTCCCTCAATGTTGCTGGTGCTGTTGACCGGGTGGAGGAACGGGAGAAGAGGTCACCTCTGGTGGGGCAGGCGGAGCAGCTGTTCCAGCTCTTCGACGGTGAGTTCAGTCTACAAAGAATCATCACACGACGGTTTAAGTCACTTGCACCAGGCGGAATGTACAACACATGCAAGTACCATGGTTGTCACCAGTCCTTAGTTTGGGCGTCAAGACAACAGTAGAATAGCAAAAGGATGCACATCATGTGTATACACACAAGTGCTTGTATACCGGGAGGGTTAAAACCAGCCAAACAACGGGTCCTGTGACGACAATTCTTCATTTCCACACGTCTCTCTCTGGGATGAAATCATGCCAGCTGACGGCTCCGGAGCCATCGATCGCGAGGAGCTCGCTCCCCTGCTGGGACAGCTAGGCATCTGGGTGACCGCGAAGATGGCGAGCGAGCTCTTTCCAAGGCTAGACCTCGACTGTTCCGGGGACATCCGACAGGAGGAACTTGTGACGTGGCTGGAAAATGTACGCGCTCATCGAGGCTTGTGCTTTGTTGATACATCTTCAGCAAGGAAGCAGCTTGCGTGGTTGTCGTATTTGACCACCGCTACGTTCTGAAAGGTTTCCGTACACTCCATGTGCTACTTTTCTGACCATCTGTGCGTGTACACGGATGCCCGAAGACCAACTGTGCGCGAATGTTGCTTCCTGTTGAACAAACGCACGCACGCATATGTATGCCGCTGGTTGATATGGAGTTGCTGCAACATAGACGCTGACCCAATGGCATTTGTCCCGCGTTTCTTCGGGCAAACCAACAATCTGCGTGCAGGAGGGGGCGGACCTCCGACGGGCGCCCTTGAGCAAGATGTTGCGGGCCGGACAGAGCGTCAAGGCTGGTGGGAGCTCCACACGCCGACTAGAAAGCCAGGTAAAATTAACAAACGCGCACACACAAGTAGATATCTACAGTAGGTCAACACAATTCCCGAGGAAGTCCCACCGAAGCAAAGTTGTTTCGAGCGAGACAATGTTTCGACAAACCTTCTTTGGCCCATGGTACGCTGCCCGACTGTTGGAAACTTTGCACGAGTGCGAATTTACCACTCTCGCCCCTTCATTAAATCGTCTGAAACATGTCTCAAGTGGAACTGAAACCTTCCCCAGGCGTTTGTACGGCGTTCTTGTGCGCACAAGAAACAAGAGAGAATCGATGCACTGAACGTTCCCAGGTTAAGCAAGCGTAACGTTGGGGCAACCTCCCGAAAATGAGGAACGCGACACTTCCCCGCACCCCCCACCCACCCCCCACCCACCCACGCCATACATATTCTCTCTCCCTCTCCCTCTCTCCTTCTCTCTGTCGCTGTCGCTGTCGCTGTCTGTCTGTCTGTCTGTCTCGGTGTCTGTCTGTCTGTCTCTCTGTCTGTCTGCCGGTTTGTTTGTCTCTCTGTCTAAGGTTCGAGCCTCGATAGTAGCGAGATCAAGGGCCGCCGCGAGGGCGGAAGTGTGGGCATCATCGGGCGTTACACCAGTACCCGCGGCAGCACCGGCGGTGGTAGCCACGACAGCATCGACAGCAGCGATCGACGGACCCCACGAACAAGCCAAGCAAGAAGATCCAAATCCTCAAAAACAGGAGCAGCATCAGCAACGAGGCGAAGAAGAAAAGAAAGTTATAGACGAAGACGCCGTGGCGGTGGAGGCGGCGACGGCAAGGAAGGAGCCGGCATTGGCCGTGAAGGTGACAGGAGGGAAGGAACGGGGACGGGTCTTGGCCACGAGGGCCACGGGGAGGAGGCGGCGTTTCGAGGAAGAGGAGAGGGACGCTGAGCGGGAGCTGGTGGTGAAGCGGGCCGAGGACGTGGCGGAGCGGCGCATCAAGAGGTAGGTGCACACGCACGCACGTCCATTACTTGAGTAAATCACATCATATGTCATGCCGTTTTCTGCAGGATGTGTTGGTATGGTGTTCTGTGGCGCTGACTACTAAATAGAGTTTCCTCAACCAAGAACCTCTTTTATTCTTATGAGTTATTTTCATCACGGTTGTACGAATTTCCGTTTGTCACGAGTGAAGGTTTCGCTGAAGGATAACTTGTTTCAGCAAATGTTTGCACGGATCCATTACAATCAGTGCCTCAAATATCCGTTTCCAAGCCCGAGCCAACAGGATCCGCCTCCACGTAATGTAGTATCCCCCTGAGGCCAAGAGATATTGTAGTTGCTTCTGTTGAAAGTAGATGCTTCGAAGACGAGCGATTCAACTACCCCAACAACCACTGCCTTTCAGACAATGGAGAACCCAAGCCGGGGCAGCAGAACTCAAGCGGGAACGGGACAGGATACGCGGAGCGGAGGAGGCCTTGAACCTGACCCTCCGAGCCTGGGATGCGGGTGTTAGCTTCGCAAAGGAGGAGGCAGGCGTCACAAAGACAGATGCTTCAGCGCTGAGAGAGACAAAACGGGCAGAGGTAGTTGTGGTGTTGTGCGCGTTGAATGTGCAAGGGCGATCAGGTCCATGTTATTGAGAGGGCTAGAAGAAGGTGTTGTTGTTGTTGAATGCAATAGCTCGTCGAACGAAATGCACGAGGGTGAAAATTGTAGTCTGTTGAGTTTCCTGTTGTAGGGATCATCCAAAGATGGAACACTGGACTCACACATGTGTTCAAGCCTTCTTCGGCCGCGACTATCGACGGTGTTGCTTGCTCAAGGGACATAGCGACTGTTAACGGCAATAACTCTGCAAACCTTCCGCGGCTTGGAGTTCCACCCGTCAACCGACTCTCATCAATAATCTTGGTGTGCATTGCTTTTCAGGAGAAGCTGCGCCATATGTTCCGGCTGTTCGACGTGTCGTGCGACGGCTGCATCCACGCGGAGGAGCTGGGGAGACTCTTGTCTCGCATGAACGTGCCGATGTCCGAGGCAGAGATCGTGGGTCTGCTCCATGAGATGGACAGGCAAGTGACCGTCGGTCTTGCCAACCGCGGAGAATGAAACAAGCATCAACGTCGTGCCTACAGTAATAGAAAAACGCCGACAACAAAGGAGAAAAGTCCCGTAGGCAGAGAGCGAAAACCCCGCCACCGTGTCAAGCCCAGCAACGCGTGCGACCCCCCACCCCTTCTACGCCATCGTCGTGTATCTCGATCACTGTCGTTAGGGTATTTCCCCCACCTGCTCGTTCCCAGCGGCTTGTATCCCCGAACGACATGTGATCGTTCGTCACATTCGTCCCCCCCGTCCGTGTGGCGCCCTTCCACTTTTCCTCTCTCAAAACAACCACTTCGAACCGTACCGTTGAGCGCCCCCCCCAACCCATTCTGTGTGTACCCATGTACTCACCCACCGAAACCCCCTCTTTCCAAAAAAAAAGAAGCTAGATCCCACCGCGATTTTTGCCCCTCCCTGGGTTGCAACAAAATCGAACGCTCTCAGAGACGGCAGCGGCGACGTAGACTTCTGCGAGTTCTCGGCTTGGTGGCACAAAGACGGGCTGAAGCGATCCAATCGCCCGGCAGCTCTGATCCGCTCGGCGGCATCATCGCTGGTGGCCAAGGTGGCCCCGATAACGGCAGCACGGAGAGACGCTCGACGGGCCTTGATTAGCAGGGCGCGAGCAGAAGCGAGAGCTGAGGTGGGGTGGTGGGCCGAGGGGGACAAAAGTTTTGGGGTCGTGTGACATGTAGGTTTCAGACGATACGTCCCTTTGGATGCAACACGTGTACTTTCGATGTCAAGAGGACAGGGGTACATCAATCGGGAACGTTTGTGAGACGAAGTGAAGGCCTGATGTAGGAAGGGTTGTTGTTTCCCTTTGCAACAACCTCCGGTGGTCTTTCCGGTTGACGTCAAACTCTCAAACGACCTAAGATTTGATGTATTTTGTAGTCTCAGATGTTCTCTAACCATTTCATTTGCTTGTTTACCAACAAAGGTGCCGATGGATGCTCGGCCCTGGTAGTGCAGGGATGTCGATGTCGACGCTTTCCCTTCGTTTGTTCGAACGCACCGAGTGTACCCCCGTCCGACCGCCCCATCTGCATGATGTTACCGTTTCACCACAAATTGTAACGTGTCTGCGCTTGGCTCTATGATCGGATGTACTGTGGTTGATGTTCGTGGTTTGCGCCGTCCGCAATGAAACGTAAGCGCAAAATTTACGTGAATCGCCGCAAAGGCGCTGGAAGTGGCATCCCCTATGACTTCTGATCATGATTGGGCTTCCGTGGCTGTTCAACCGATCATTTGCTCAATACAGTAGAGGCTACGGCTTGCGAGAGACTATTGAAGAAAAAATCGAATCATTCAGAGAGTGTTTTTGGCTGGTCCCGACCATGAGAAATACATATATTATTCAGCACGGGTTAAGAGACGAGCGGTAATTAGAGAGTGTTGTTGGCTTGTCCCAACCCTCTTACACCGTAGCCGCTACCTACCAACGTTTGCCTTGCCGACGTGTTCCAACACCACCGTAGGTGAAGAACGTTCTTCGCCTCGAAGATGAAGACGAGGAGGCGCTACGTCTCGCGAAGATCGCCACTGGCAACACTGCTAGTGCTGTTGCAGCCGATGCCGCGGGCGAGTACTTCGTGGCATTTGAAACAAGAGTTGGCCGCGAGTGTGGTGGTACTAGTAGCGCTCCACCAGGCAAGCCGCTGCTGAAGGATGGTACCGAGGGCCTTGGTGGCGAAGGTAGTGGTGTCGGCGAAGGGGGAGAGGGACGAGGAGATAGGCTTAATGCCAAGAGGCTGGCGGCTGCTAGATCGTCCAAGCTGGCCAGGGCGGAAGCTGAGGCCTACGCCGATGTGCAGGTGGTGATGACGCGTATTCTATTATTATTGTGATACCCTTGCTCTTTTCCGTTTGTTTTATTGGGGAAAGCGTGATTTTGGCGCAGTACCTAGACGTAGTCATCAGACATTCAAAGAAGCCGTTTATAGCCCCTCGTCCCACCAACCAGCATGGCTCTTCGGGAAAAATGAAACGATCTTTCCTGAACCTAGGCCATGATCCTCACACAAGCTGGAAAGCGGGAGCTCGCTCGGCGGACCCGCGACTTGCGCCTCGAATGGAGCGCTGCCATAAGGACCGCCACAAGCATCGCTCGGGAAAGTGGAAGCGGAGAGTTGGGCACCGCAGGATCAGCTGACTACTCGTACGAAGGGGCCAGCCACGACAAGGAGGAGCAACGAACACAGCGAAAAGAACAGCGACAGCACGCTACTTCCACCGATACCTCCGGTATTCCGCTTGTGGAGGCACCCATCCTGCGATTTCTGTGGGGCTTGCATCGCAGTACTGCGGCGGGGGTAACGCTGGAAACGGCGGGGGCGAGTGCGGGGGTCGAGCCGTCGGAACTCAAGTACGTTGGCGCTAGTCTGCGCAGCACGTTGGTAGGAGGGGCCAACCGGAGAATATGGGGGAGTCAGGTGAGGTATCAACCCTGTTGTGTGGGGACCTTACCAATTGGTTATGGTAGAGAGAAAATAACGATGGAGCGTGCAGATGTACAAGGTGATGCCACGTTCATCACGTCGAAGAGCCGTGAGCGAAAAGTCAGGTGTACGGGTGCGCTTGCTGGCCTTCATTCCTGTTTGAACACCTGGAAGAAGTATAGCCGATATGGAAGGACAGATGTATATTCGGAATGTCATCACATGAGTTGACGTAAGAAAAAAAATCAAGGAATGCTGTGAAAGAGTCGTTTCGTATGGCACACTGGAGGGTGGGAAGAAAGGAAGGTGAAGAAATGCAACTCACTAATGTCATCAGCGAATTCAACAATATACCCAATGCTTCTAGCCTGTGGTAGGCTTTACGCGTGTCTCAAGGAAGTAATTCCAGGTTTGTCTCGGAAGTGAAAGGATTGCCATATCGACCAAGGACTCTCTGCGTCCAAGTGCCTCGTTACTCTGACGTCGGACTATCCGGTTGGAAGCAGGTCACGCTTCTAGGTTCAACCCTCGCAAAGGGCACGGCGGGGCGTACCGCCAACATCGTTCGTACAAGTGCTGATTTCGGGCTACCGCCCCAAGCCGAAGAAGAAGCGACCTTGCCAAATGCTGCTCGTACAGCGGGTGTGGAATCAGGAGATGCGTTGAGCCTGAGCACAATCTTCGACGACCATGCGCACGACGAAATTCGAGACCTCAAGACCCTGACGAGGTACCGTGTGTGCTGTGCGAATGGTAACGAATGTTTTGACTAATGACCTATGCTAATGTAAGACTTTTTTCCCACGATAATCTTGAGTAACCTACTTTCAAACCGCGTCCAAAGTTGCTCCGTTCCATTCCGTCCGTTCCACAAACTACGTCGTCGAAAGACCACCACTTCATATATTTCAACGCCCATTCACTCCCAAACTGACTTCTCTTGGGTATCATTTCTTCATCCTTCTTCCGGTGTCGGACTTATTCAGCGAGGTCTAGCCTGAGCGTTCACTGTCATACCTTCGATCGACAAAGGCAATGGTGGTAGTCAATATCCACCACCATGCAATTCACTCGTGCGGTCATATTTTTTCACCTTCTTCATCGAACAACCGTTTCTAAAGCCCTGTTTTAATAAGGCCTTCCAACACAGCAATTTCTTGGTACCAAACGAACAGATCTTTCCAACATCACCAGACCGACACACCCTTTTCCTTTTTTCCGTGCCTTTTGTAGCCGTCATGCGAGCTTTCTACTACCGTGGTGGATAGAAAAGTATTGGGAAAAGTGTTCAAAAGACACCGATCGCCCTCTCACATGCTCTCGAAGGCACTCGGTAGCGCTCTCGACGCCCCCACCCACCCCGCCGCGCCGTCGAAGTGTATTGTTCGTGAAACGTCACCAACGACGAACGTACCAGTGGCGTACCTCCCCAAAGGCCAAGCTCGTTCGTTCGACAAGAACCTCCCGGGGCCTTGCCGAACCAAACACGAACAAGAGCCAACCATCAGCGCCGCTCCTGCTTGCATCAATCAATCGAAAAACAACGCGTATCTGCTGCTGACGGGAAACACTTTCAACCTCTCTCCTCTCTTGACGTGCTAACCCTACCGCTCCGTTCTCTCCGCTCGACAAGGGTCGACCTTGCAGACGTATTGGCTTCGCTGCATCGCCCCTCGTCTTCGGCCTTGGCCAACTCAGCTGGAAGCGCTGCGGAAGGCGAGAGGCGACCTCGGACAAAGGCTCAGATCCGGGCGGACCTCGCGACCATCGCGAAACTAAAGTTGAAAATGTTCTTCACGCCAGGTGCTTTCCGGAAGCTGGCCAAACAGGCTCTGCTAGCAGAAGGGAGGGCCTTCGAGAGGTGCGTGAAACCGCCTGTCTACAAATTGGGTAAAATGTACAATTCCTCCTGCTCACAACTGTAGCACCCTCTCCTTGGTTGATAACCTACTCAACCCAAGGTTCACTCCCGAGCAGCCTTTCAACGTGCTACCAGATTCAGACTCCCGGTGCGACTCACGTGCCACGGCGCTCCCCACCCCTGGGCATGAACTTGCTTTGAGTACTTAAGCCACTTTTGACCGTGCATTCCATCGAGATACTGGATGCCCGCGTCCCCCGTTCGGTAGGCATGAACTTGCTCGCGCCATCGCCTTGGAGGATGGCGAGCCCTGGCGCCTAGCCGAGGCTGCAGAAACGAAGCGAGGCATAGAATCAGCCGGAGGCGCTACGCCGGCCGACGTGGACCGTCTCAGGGCTATGACGATGGGTGCCGCCAAGCTTGGCCGAGCGCTCGCGCTGGGCGAGGTGTGCACGTGTGTGTGTGTGTGTTTGCGTAATTTGCACCGACCGCGCTAGCTGGTTTGCCAGTGAAAGAGTCCATCTGGAGCGGGAAAGAAAACCCGCGGACATTGAATGCGCTGGTGTTTGTCTGTATACGTGTACGTACGTGTTTCAGCGGTCAGTATCAATCGCGCTGGCCGGCTGACAACTAAAACGAAGTGAGGTTAGACAGGACACGCAAGGAAAACGTTTTTTAAGTGTTTGGTTTGCCGACATTTTTCTTGATGTTCGGCTGATCAATGACAATACGCATGTCTCGGCTATACGAGCGCGAAACAGCTCGCTTGGGCTGAGTAGCATCGTGTTCAACACAAGTCGGTGTTGCTACGAATATGTGTCCAATGTGTAAGTTTGTTCACCCAACCGTCTACGATTTTCTGTGCATCTGACAGGAATTGGCTGCCGCGGAATGTCGGTCATTCCTGAAGACGTCCGCAGGCCGCGAGGAGCTCAGGGCTACCACTGCAACGGTGAGAGACCAACGTCGACAGCAGAAACAGCACACGGCCGCCAGAACAGCGGTGGCGGTCGATCCGTGGAGAAAATCCATGGTTGGAGTGAGGACAATTAGGTGAGATCAACAACCCGCCGTTGGGAAAGTACAGAGGCGTTTGGGGGGGGGTTGATGGTCCAAGCGTGTTTCGAGACTCGTCCCTCGTGTACAATCGGTGAATGACTCCAAGTACATATAATTCGACACGTGGCCTTACTCTGGGCGCTCCGGCGCTGTTCTAGAACAATGTTGCAAGCAAGACGGCAAGGAGGATTGGTTGTAAGTACGAAAAGCTACCGAAACATGTTCGCCCGAAAATCACGCCGACGCCTGTCTCCCAATAACCCTACGACGGACGTCCCTAACTGCCGCCATCAACTCTCTCGACTCTCACTTTCGTCCCAACTGCAGGCGGATAGCCTCGGCGATGAACAATCTTGCTCGGGATGAACTCCGGCGCGCTTTTGCGCTTTGCGAGGTGCGTAGAAAACACCCGAGACGCCCTTGGCTTGATCGTCCCACAGGAATTCGGTGACAGCGGCTGTTCTGTTGCCAAAACATTGCTCTCGTCTCTTCTTCTTATTGTCTCGTTTTTTTGTGAAGGCTGACGGGGTACCCGGCGAGATAAGCAGGGCGGAAGCGGCGCATGTGCTCTCTTTCGCGGGGATTCCTCAGGTACTGCACCGTTAAGACTAACGCATAGGCGGCACGTGAGAGTCAGTGAGCGTTTTTGGTGCAACCAACGGTAAACCATCGTCAAGTGCGATCTACTCCCTACGACTTAGCAGTCCGTATGATCGCGCCTACCATGGGCACGGGAAACGAGTAAGTAGATGCTCAACACGAAACCGAGCATATCACCAAGCAACAGCTCAGGAAGAACGCGCGAAGATATAAGATACCCACCGTCCGTTTATCAAGAGTGGGATGATGCAGCACGGTAGGTTAGGGTGAAACTAGCTCTGTTCGCAGAGTTTTTCCTTCCTCCGCACCTCAACTGGGCCCACCCCCTCTTATCCACGACCCTCGCGCACTCACCTCGCTCCTGCCTCTACCCTCCATAAAACGGAACAAACACAAATGGACGGCACGTTCTTCATGGCGGCCACGAAACACAGACTACGTTGGCGGCGACCGGTCGGGTACGAGTTCCTCTCCTGGAAGAAAGCAAGCATTCCGGAGGGCAACCATCTCAAACACCCAAGAGCCAGCGCCGGCGCCGGCGTCAGCGGCGGTGGCCGTGGCGAGGAAGGCGTGCCAAAGGGCCAAGTCGGAGCCAGCCGCCTCCAGGTAGACAAGTGACACCACCGCCGAGGCATCCGCGGAACGCGGTATCAAGATTCCTGAAAATCGGCGGCGGCGCTGGTCCTGGCGGGGCCAAGAAGCAGGGCAACACCGGCACTGGTGGAACCGCCAGAGTGTGTCCGACCAACGAGGACGACGGCGATGACAATGCTGTTGTCGTCGGCCCGATCGTTGTGGGACCGGAGTCACCGCCGAGCCAGGCGGGGGAGAAAGAGGACCGAGGTGACGATCTCGATGGGGAAGGAGGGGACGCGTGTATCGGCGGCGAAGAAGATGACGGGCGTGAAAGCGATGATCACGGCAGCGATGGACAGTTTTCGGTGGATATGGACATGGTGGATGACGTCACCAACGACGAGGGTTTCGAGCTGGGCGAGGTGTGTTCGGTCCTGGCAGGGAGATAGAGTAGAGGGGGTGGTGTGAAACGAGACTGGTTTACCTGATAGTAAAGCATCTCAGTTCGAGCTTGTTGTCCGCATGACTATTGCCGTCTTCATGTGTGGGTCACATGTCATTTGGTATCGATTACAATCGAGAGGTGTCTCTTTTGGCCATCCCAGGCTGTACCCGCCCGTCGGGCGTCAACTTAAGTGAGAGTCCCACGAATACACGTGAAAAAATGCCGAGGTTTCAGTTACTTGATGGTGATGATCCGGTCGGTCTTCATCGTCCCAAAAACTGGCAATGGCCACTTTTGAAATGGGGAGAAGGTCCGTTTTTTCGATTAGCACACACCGTTGGCCGTTAACGGCGAATACCAGCCATAGGCTTTGCCTTCAGCACAAAGAGCATAAGAAAATATGTAGATCTTCATTCTGTGCACGTAATCTGTTCTGCGCGTTCTCGGTGGAACGATTCGATCGTGGCCGCGATTTAACGCCCCGATTGCTCCGCTTTCTTTGCCCTGCGCAAACTCGATTTCGGCGTTCTCGAACCATTAAAGATGGAGATTCTTCTGGCGGCGGTAAAGGCTCGACAGACGCTTGCCGCTAAAGCCGCCAGCCTCGGACGGCTTTTGGCACGCAGAGCCCTTCCGATCTCATTAACCGACACCAGGTAACCTCTGCGAGAAGTCGGCCGCCGGACAGCAGTGCCTGAGTCCGCTGCACATCGAATATCACCGGATGCAGGTCACGTTTTAGGCACCTCGGTAGACACCTCAAACCACCTCGTCCTTCGCGCGGTGCGATCGTCGCCGGTGAAGCCCTGGGGTGCGTTCCTGTGTCAGGATTTGTTGATATGCAAGGTCTGGTCAAACATATGACGGGGGCTTAATTCGTGAATACGATAGTCTATGGATACACCCTCCCATGCTTCGCAAAGCAGACAAAATTCCAGGTTGTGTTGCTCGGTTGTTCTTCCTTTCTTGGCAGACTTGGCCTTTGGGATGACAGTTAGTTCTGTTTGGCGCAATGTCGGTGTGTACCCACCCATCCCCGTCGTCTTCCCCTCCTGTGCCCAACCTTGTCTGTTTGCCTTCCATGGCGGCAGGGATGCCCGCATGCTTCTGATGAGCCGCGCGCGCAGCGCTGGAAGAGACAAAGCAATGCACCAGTTCGAAAACCTGCTGACCGTCGAGACAGGCGACTTGTTCGCGGCGGCAGCTCATCATCACGAGTAGCAGTAACGTGCTTTGTACTTTCGCTAGCACAAAAACACGTTTGAGTCATGTGCACTTGAGAATTTGTCGTACTTGCCCAGCACCACGTTGTTTCGAGTTTCTCGACGTGTGTCCGCTGTAGTACCCGAGTAATGATGGTCACAGTCTTCCATTGAGTGGGGGAACAACGATCTTGCAAATCGCTGGACACGGCTTCAACACGGGTTTCGCAGTTGTCAACCACTACACGTAAAACAAACTCTCTTTTGTTTTGATTGTGCAGACTGCACGCCCCCCCCCGCCAAAACTCGCTTCGTTCGACATCAAATCAATCATCGAACGACAAAAATGGCCTTCCTTCCAGATCCGGTTGACTCTAAGAGACCGATACGGTCTCTAGAGGTCTCACAGAACGGAAAAAAAAATGTGAATGAATGATCACTTTTACTCCGAAAGCCTGAACCACGCACTTTTTCAAGCCGAACGCCCGAGACGCGAGAAATCACCCCATCGGCCGTCCTGCACTGCTTTAGAAGTCTTCCGCAAGAATCAGCTTGATTGGTGCCTTTTACGTTGTTGACGGTTGGATGTGTCGATGACCGGCGCTCTCAAGCACGAAACACACCCGCTGGCCAATTGGCCAACAACGTACGTATGTACTTATGTTTATGTGCATGGGCACGTATGCATAGTCTATAGGATATCGCAATATGTCGCGGTTCCGGTTCTGTGGTGTGGTGGTGTGTGGTGGTGTGGTGGGGGGTGGGGGGGTTGTTTGGATACCCCCCCGGGTGTTTTTGGTTTGAGTTTGGGGAAAGAACGAGAGACAGGCACTGCTGTAAGACTGAAACACTTTGTGCCAGCCAAACTCCCAATCAATCAAGACCACCGCTGGAAGAGACAGATAAATCTGTAAGACTGAAACACTCTGTGCCAGCCAAACAATTCCAGGGTTGTTTGCTGGTATCCACGGTGCTCACCTTGTTTCTGTGTACCCTGTCGCTCAAAGCTCACCAATTTGGTGGCCAGCGTGCTGTGTGGGACCACCGATTGGGCTGCGGGACCACCGATTGAGGTCGACTGCCGTGCCAACGTACGGGTTCGACCGTACAACACATTGTACCATGGCGTGCAGCAATCACCCAGACTGTGATGTGCCCGAGCATGAGCATGGCCAAATGGTCCCGTTGTGCGACACACGCCTTGGTATGCTATGTCCGCCTGCGCCATGGTCCGCTGGTCACTGGTCGGCGTCACTTGTAGGCTGAAGAATGAAACGTGTACCCGTCGGATCTGTGGTTCCGTCCACCCCGCTACTTCTGCTGTTGCTGAGGGCATGTTGTTTGTGACCGCCACCACACTGGCATGTCGTCAGACAAGTGACCACACACCACACACGTAGGTTTGGCTTGCGGTGAGGTGGATGCCATGTTGGTGCTCGGTGGAATGAAAGATCGCCCCGGATCGCGGATGAACGCGGAGGAACATATACCCGTCGCCGGATCATGGATCGTGGATCGTGCCGAAGTTCTTCTTTCATGCTGTCGACATGGACTACTGCTTGGGACCGTTACAGCACGGCCATGTCTTCAACGCACACCCGCTGGCCAATTGGCAACAACGTATATATGTATGTGCATGGACACGGCGAGGTGGATAGTCCCAAGCAGTAGTATGTCGACAGCATGAACGAAATTCGGCATGATCCGACGACGACGGGTAAATATTCATCCGCGTTCATCCGCGATCCGGGGCGATCTTTAATTCCACCGTGCACCACCATGCATGGTGTCCACCTCACGGCAAGCAAGCCCGAACTGCATATGTACGTGTACGTGTGTGTGTGTGGGTGTGTGGTGTGTGGCCAATTAGCCAGCGAGTGTGCTCTGAAGACATGCCAGTGTGGTGGCGGTCTCAAACAACATGCCTTCAGCAACAAGAGAAGTGGAGGGGTGGACGGATCCACGGATGATCCGACGGGTACACGTTTCATTCTACAGCGGACCGTGGCGCGGGCGGACATGCATATTAGCGTACCAAGGCATGTATCGCACAACGGGGCCGTTTGGCCATGCTGATGCTCGGGCACACCACTACAGCCTGGCTGGGTGATTGCTGCACGCCGTTGTACGTTGTAAGATCGAACACACCATTCATTGGCACGGCACGACCGTTGGCACGACCGTTGGCACGGCAGTCAACCTCAATCGGTGGTCCCACACAGAACGCTGGCCAGTTTCTTCGTCGTGTTGGCGCGGACCAAATAGGTGAGTTTTGAGCGATGGGGTATAGAAACAAGGTGAGCACCGTGGATAACAGCAGACGACCCTGGAATTGTTTGGCTGGCACAAAGTTTTTCAGTCTTACAGATTTATCTATCTCTTCCAGCGGTGGTCTTGATTGATTGGGAGTTTGGCTGGCACAAAGTGTTTCAGTCTTACAGCATGTCTGTCTCTCATTCTTCCCCCAAACTCAAACATCAAACAACCCGGGGGGTATCCAACTCCCCCACCACAACACCACAACACCACAACACCACAACACCACATACCACCACACCACTAAACCGGAACCGTGACATTACCATATCCATCCTATGTCCACCTCGCCTCAGTACACGCGTTCATGCAAATTGGCCAGCGGGTGTGCATTGAAGACATGGCCGTGCTTGTAACGGTCCCAAGCAGTACTCTGTAGTAGCATGAACGAAGTTCGTCACCATCCACGATCCAGGATCCAACGACGACGACGACGGGTAAATGTTCATCCGCGTTCATCCGCGATCCGGGGCGATCTTTCATTCCACCGTGCACCACCATGGTATCCACCTCACGGTGAGCAAGCCCAAACTACGTGTGTGGGTGTTGTACGCGCGAGGACATGGAAATCACGCGTTCCCTCAGTCCAAGGCGGGTTGTCACACCATCTGATCTGTTGTTCTCCAATTCTTCCGTAACAACCCAATTCGCGTAGTTTTGCACGCAGCACAGAAACCTTATCCTCGTCTGTTCCCTCTACATCAGACTGAGTATGTATGAGGCGTTGTCCATCCAAACTATGTACTCCAGTATATACTTCACGCTTGTTTCTTGCCCTGACCGTCGTCCTTAGGATCGGATGCAACAAGAGTTACCAGGCTACTTTTTGTGCGAATCTTCATCTCTTCACTGCGAGAATCGAACAGACGTTCTTTATCTACGTGACATCCCGTGTGCCCCACTCGGGTATGGGTATGTGTGTGCATACGAAAGAAGAGCCTTCTCCACCGAGTAGTGCTCGTGTGCTTGGTTGTGAAAGCTGGATGGTCGTCGGGTTGGACGTCTTCAACTTGTTTTGTACGCAGCACGGATTGATGGCGGTTGTACATGCGCATGTGCGAATCTTTTCTCGTCTGTACTCTCTACATATGTACAACATGAGATTGAGTAGCCGATGGTTGTCCGTCCGTCTTTGCTTATGTCGGGGATATTTCCTCCGTATGACGCAATGCGCAGCCAGTCGTAGGTATGTACTGTAGTTGTAGGATACTTAGCAATAGGTAATGATTCGCTCAGTTGTGTTATCCCCTCTAATTTCGCTGGCAGAAACATGCACTATTCCGATACTCTCAATATTACAGAGAAATGTGCTCATTTGTATATATTTGTTCGCAATGGGTCACCAAAACAGAGCATTCTACTAATTAGAGTAGGCTACATAATTGGTTGCCCTTAGTTGCCAGCGGTCAACAAGCAACAAGTACTCCGATGGGTGCTTGGGCTTTAGACTATACCATTCGGGGATCGTTGGCGCCTCTCACTTCTCTACCGTGACGATGTCCTTGGGAAAATAGATAAGCAGGGTCTTAAACACCCCCACCACATCGCCCACGCCGAAGACCATCCGCGGAAGTTATTCCTGCAGAGAAAATGATTTTTTTATTGTGGCACGCATGACACAACAAATAAGACTAATCTTTGGATGTTTTTTTACGCAAAGAGTCTGCGCCGGAGAGGTCCTACATTCCACCTCTCTCTCTCTGTAGATATGTGTCTTGTTGGGAGATGTAGAGGTGTCATTGTTGTATTAATGTTCCGGCTGGGCCGGCATCACGGAACTTCACTGCGTGTAAAAAAAGGATTCAAGCTCCGTTGGTTCACGCCCTGGGTGGTCGGTGGTCCTCGCTGTTTGATTTTGATTTCAACATGTTTATCTTCGTATTCCGTGCCATGGGTAGAGAGTGACAGCGCGGAGTCGTGATGAGCCAGGTCGGAGCAGTTTTTTCCTTGCAAGGCAAAGGCCGCGGCTGTTGTTCTTTGCAACGCGCGCCTCAACGAGGCAGGTCGGCGTAAGATAATATTGAGGGTAAAATGGGGTCTTGAACGAGCCAAAGTAAAGACGTGCATGCTGACGCCCGAGGAACCACAAACAGCGCATCTTCTGACTCCAAATCAGGCCGGCATTTGTCAAGAACCCGGCTTGCAAGCCCGCTTGATGGTGCGGATCACAAAGCCACACACGTCAACTTCTAGACTACGAAACTCCACGTGCATCGTACTCGTCCGTGAGGGAAACACTAGATGGAAACGTCTACATACACGGGTGCACTTTGTTTTTACTTCTACTAAATAATGGTATCATTTCCCTCTCCCTGTGACAAAAAAACTCTGGCCAGATAACGGAGAGCGACACAGACTACACACCTGTGACGAAATTCAGAAAATTTGCACAGCCCCTTGTTTGCCCAGATCCAAAACACTAGGCGCGACGAGGAGCGCAGAGAGAGAGATAGGCACGGGTCCAAAGTAACAGCACTAACGCAGTCGCCGCCCAGCGGGTCCCGCGCAGCAAATCCCACCCACTACCAATCAAGGGCCTGCCAAGAACACATGTCCGTAGAAGATGAACATGAACAATTTACTACAGGAGGCTGAACAACCCGGCAAGCCTCTATCGACTCCAAAGCGAACCGGTGTACACAGGTAGACGAGCATGCTTTCGATGCACGCGTGGGCTCTTCCAGCATGTGTCGACACGAAGAAACAGGTTTCTAGGGTCATGGAACAACGCCGGGGTACATGGCGGAATTCCCGACAAGGCAAACAAATCGCGCCTATTCTGCCGCAAAAAAGCGGTCTGTCTTGGCACCGACGCACCGACACATACCGGCATCTATTCCGCCCGGAAAAAGGGCGGTTTGTCTTTGGCACCAACTCATAGATACTATCAGCACAGACAGACTCACAAGTGAGAAACGACGCCGCCATTCTTCATCCCCTACGGGGGGAGCAAGCCCGTACCGTGATGCGAGCTGCAGGGCAACAGCCCCGCCTCGTCCAATCAACGTCCGATGCAAGCGAAGCGACACTAGTGCCTTCGAGGCGATAGACCTTCCGCCCACCGCGAACACATCTATCGGGGGACGAACCGTGCACCCGTCAAAAATTTGCATCCAATCCTTCGTACATTACAGCTACTACTGCCGTAGCAACGCGGCGCCTTCTGGGCAACAGACTCGCGCCCAGCGCGAACACGTCTATCAAGGAAAGAAGCGCGCAACCGTCGTCAAGATTTGGCATTTAACCCTTCCAACGGTTGACCTAACGCTGCGCTCGCGTACTCAAGGGGACATGACTCAAGATGAACAGAGCTTTGGCTTGCGTTTCTCAAACGCCGGCGAAGAACTCGTTTGTCTCCTCCTCCCTCGCCCACGACGGCCCCCCAAAGCCTTGCCCACCGCCGCCGTTGCTCTCGTCTCCGACTCCCGGCGCGGCCGATCCGCCATCGGGGAAGCCGTTGCCCTGCATCATCGCCGCCTCCTCGCCCTCAGCGGCGGCGGCGGCGGCGGCGGCGGCCGGACCGTCGCCGGAAGGGTCTGCCTCTCCGCCTACCCCTGCTCCGCTGCAGTCGCTCCCGCCGCAGGAGACCCCCGGCAGCATCTGCGGCGGCGGCTGCTGAGCCGCAGCCTCTGCCGGTGCGACGCCCGCGTCAACACCCCCACCACCGCCGCGGCCGCTGCCAAAGCTTCCGGTAAACGAGCCGACGCTGCTGCCGAAGGTGGTGCTGCTGTTGCCGCCGCCCGACGCCGTCGTCGTGCCGCAGTCACCTCCGCCCCCCAACGTCGCCGCCGCGGCGTCCGTACCCTCGCTCCCCCTGCCATCGACGCTGCTGCTACCGCTGTCTCCTCCGCCGCCGAACGGCGCGGTCATGGCACCCCTGCCGCCAAACGCCCCCATCGCAGCACCCCCTCCACCAAACGCGCTGACGCCGCCGCCGCCGAAAGGGCCGAACGCCGTCAGCGGCGGCGCGACGCCACCGGCGGGAGCCTTCCGCACGGCCCGGTAGGAAACCGCCTGCCCCGGGTGCGGCAGGACGGGCGGGGGGGCAAGCGCGGGCGGGGCGTTGGTTCCGTTCTTGGAGTCGCCGCTGTCCTCGGCGGCATCATCCTGGCGAGCCGTCTCCGTGCGCTGCTTCATCTGGGGCGGTGCCGGCGGCATCATCATCGCCTGCGGTCGGGGAAGAGGAAAGGCAGGCGCGCGTTGGTGTGCGGATGGAAGAGGTCGCGGCCTGAGCCTACAAGAGAAATCGAAAGATAAAACCACAACCACATCTAGCAACTTCAAGAGTTGAAACCGGGCAAAAAGCAAAAAAGGTGTACGGGGACACTACGAGAGGTAGAGTCGACAGCTGCGCTAGCCTGCAATAAATAAACGCCTCTACTTGCTGGTATCATCTACCTTGAGGGGGTCTTCGACGACCCCACCCCCTTGGCCCGGTCCTCCAAACGCACTACCGCTGCTCACGTCTCCTCCACCCGCCGCAGCCGCCGCCATTGTCGGCGGCGCAGCAAGCTCCGACACCCCCGCTCCCATCATCACAGGCGGCCCCGACAGCGTCGGCGGCGGCCCGGTAGGGAAGAACGCGGTGGGCGGCGGTGGCGGCGGCATCGCGTGGCCGTTGTTGGCATTTCCCCCCCGCGGCGAAACCTCCGGTGTAGTCTTCTTGCTCTTGCCCTCTCCCGCCGCCCCCGGTGCCGGGAACAGCTCCGCGCGAACGCTGCGGTTGCCGCTGCTGCTGCCGACGCTCGCCCCGCTTCCCGACCGGGTGCGGCCGCCGCCCGCGCCGGGGCTACCGCCGTTCGAAGCCGCCTCCACCCCGCCGCGGGGGCTAATAGCACCACCGTTACCCGGAGCGGCGATACCCATCCCCGAAAACGCCCGAGAGTGCTCCCGCCTCGCCGCAGTCGTGGAGTCCGAGAGCGGCGGGCGGGGCGGCGGGGGCGGAGTCATCCCCGACGAGACCGCTTCTAGGGTGGGCTCGGCCCCGGGCAAGGACTCAGCGGCGCCGGCGCCGGGAGAGTCGGTCGTGGCCGCCGTGATCTTGGCGGCACCGTTGTTGTTGTTGTCACTCGTGTCCCAAGCAGCGGCTGGGTCGGTTTCAATCGCCAAGAAATACGCCTTTTTCAGCACCTCTACCTCCTTTCTCTGATGTGGGTGGGGGGGAGAGGGCGGGGGTGGTGGCGGGAAGAGGGGGTCACTTGTTTGTCCGCTTGCCTGGAGTCATGGGTTGGCTGGAACGCCTTTCGTTGAAACCCCGTTCGCCTTTTGAGACCGAAGTGCCAAGCCACACGTCACAGCGCGCACCGCAACGCCCGTGCGGCAAAAAATGATGCCAAGAAAAAACAAAAAACGCACCTTGTCGGCGAGTTTCAACGATAGCTTGTCGTTGAGTTCGATGGCGTACATTCCCTCCCTGGCCATCTCGTCCAGCATCAGCTCCTGCTGCGCCGCCTGAGTTCACGGGCAGACCAGAGAAGGGCGTAGCGACAGAAACGAAACAAAAACGAGGGCACATGTGACACAGTAGTCCTTTGAAGCACGCCAGCAGGGCAGTGAGCACTCCCCACGATACGGTTGCAACAAACAACACCACAGCCCCCCGGAGAGGCAGTGAGCTCGACAGCACACCAAAATTGCAAGGGAAGGCGAGAACCAGAAAAGACCATGTGCCAAATCTCCTCTCTCGGAAAACACGGTATTTCTATTTGGTGGTTCGGTTTAGAGCGCTACACAATACGTTCCAATAACGTATTGACGCAGAGACTCACCAGGTCGTACAAAACGCGCAGAAACCGCCTGGTCTCCGAGATGCTCTCGCTTTTCAGAGCCGCACGCAGATCAAACCCTGTCACTTGTAGACCGTCTTCATCCTCCTCCTCGTGCCTCGCGATCTCCCCACCGGAGAAACCTGAACCTCCTCCTCCTGCTGCCGAGGGAGACGGCGATGGCAACGGCGACCGTGACCGCGACAGCGATGACGGCGGTGGTGATCGGGGTTTCCGCGGTCGTCGTGGAGACGACGTCGACCTCGTCCTGCTTCTGTCGCTATGCTGTGGTGGGGGGCGGGAGGGGTGGGGGGAGGACAGAGTGTCACGAACGCGCGGATTAGACGAGATTCGTTCATATCCCCAAACCAGCGGGAGGGGGGGTCTGGTATCGTTTATGTAACGGTGGAACGGCGTCCGGAGGTGTTGGTGGGTGTGGCGACCTTGTCGACTGGAAGCTGGGCAGGACAGCTTGGAGAGGGGCGTGGAGCTGAGAGAGAAGGAGGGCCAAAGTAAGAGTAGTGAAAAAAATCGGTGGACTGGTCGAAACGATGAGAGCTTCGCAGAGAGTGAGTGCAGTAGAGCGCACCGACAAAGACGAGAAAAAACGAGCACCGGAGCCGAGACAGTAGTACTGCTGGAAGGTGCTTCGGTAAGCCTGAAGAGTGCGTCGCGAAGCCTCGGAAGTTGGTGACAAGACGTGCTGAACTGATGCCCACAAATGAAGAAAAAAGAAGAAAAAAAGACCAAGTTTTGCCCCCCATCTCCCCTTGTTCCGCAACCCTGTCTTCGATGGAGATTGACGATGGCGTCTCGTGATCGTTCAAGGGCAGCGTAGAAACAGCAGTGGCGCATAAAACGCCACCTGGAGGGATATACAACTGCAGCAAGGGCGACCACATCAATCGGCACTTACCCGCCAGGACTTGCTCTCCTTCGCACGGCTGTCATCAACGATCTCGATGCCCCTATCCCTGAGGTCTGTGTGCACCCTGTTCTCCGCGACGCTGTACGCCACTGTTCGGAGGCTCTCGTCCACTGTGAAGTCCATGGCCCCTCGCTTTCGTTTGGCGCGCACACAAACGTACACGCACGCACGCACCCAACGGAGGTGTAAACGGATGCGGCGGTCGGACTTTCAGTCGAAACGGGGGGGGGGGGGCAAGCGTTCGTGTTCTTCCGACATGAGAGACGTCTCATTTCGAACGCGACTTGGATACCGCCTATGGAATGTATCGCAACACACCACACATGTTCTTGAGACTACATAGGAACGAGACAGGCACAACACGCATGCATCCTCGCAAACGGTATCACCGGGAGAAGAAGAGAGGGGGGAGGTGACGTCTCAGCACCGAACAACAAGTATTGCCCCAAGACCTTAGGGACGCAATGTGTACATCTACCTAGGTTACAAATATTTACGCCATGATTTCATAAAAAAAGACACTACACGGTTGATTGTCTTGAGCTACGACAACAGCGATGGGGACGACGACGACAACAACGATGAAGAAGGAGGCAAAACCGAAGGAAGGAGTGGCGGCCGCCGCCGAGACTCACCGTCTTATCCCACGCATGGACAAGCCCCTCCAGATCTCCCGCCACAGTCGCTACCGTCTGGTTCACGCCCTGCTGTACGCGCCATTGCATCGGAGACGCGGGAGACAACACACGCTACGAGTTTAATAACACACACACAAATCAGCGTTCGCAGCGTGTGCGCAGTAGGATAATGTTGGTGCCGGGGTGTGAGGTGTAAACCTCGAGTAAGGCTGGGGCAGGTGAAGGAAGAGGAGGGTAGGAATTGAATGACGATGTGGGGCAGGGAGGGGAGGAGGCGCTGTACGGATCGTTGGATCTGCAGATCGCCCAACAATCTGCTACAGATCGTTCGCCCAACGATCTGTTACAGATCGTTCGCCGAACGATCTGCAGCAGATCGTCCCCGTTGAGCCCGTTGAGGGTTCTACGGCAGGAAACTCGAACACGGACTCGTGAATAGTATTGCTGAACGAAGGTTCCCTGAAGCTGTACAGCAGACATCTGCGGTGTTGCGTCGAAGACGAGACAAAGGCAAAAGGGTGAACTCAGAAAAGCAAACAAACTCTGCTGTCTGAACGCACTCCCATGGTTGTTCATTAGCGTACACAAAAAGACCAGTACGACGAAACTTACGTACTCGCACCTCTGTACAAAAAGGGGCGTACGTCTCTCTCGGTTCAACAAACAGGAACAGCAATAACAAACGCACCCGCCAGGGGCATCAGCATGTGTCCTATGCCGTTGTGTGAGGTTGTTCACGGCGGAGGGATTGGATCCAATCACTGCCGCCGCATTGCACAAATTTAAACTTTTCCTTGGCCGAAAGTCCTTGTAGGTTTGTCATCGTGACCAACGATGCACTTTGAATCAGACAGGCGAAGAACTCTTTCGCACGCCGCCCTTCTTAGCTTGCACGATTTCCATCTGGTGGAGGTACTTGTCAACCATGGAACAGCTAGGGTGGGGGAGCGTCGACTGGTCGGCAACGGGCTACATCATTTTAAGGGTACACTCGAGGAAGGACCTTCCGTCATTCCAGACTCTGTGCGTAGTCCCTTCCAAAGTTGTACCTAACTAAATGTCACAGCGCCGACATAGCGTTCGGCGTGCCGAGCAAGGATACGGAGGGCGACAACCTGCTTCTTCCAACGCACGTTGGAAGCGACTTTGTGCAGCTGTCAGCAGCCCCAAATCTGCATGCATCCACTTCGCATTGTAGACCGTACCCAGAACAAAACAGCGTCTTCACCGCTCGCGCACAACAAGAACTTGGGTCAAATACTCCACACACACACGCGTTGAAAAACGTACCATCCTTAGCCCGGCATCTCCGTTCGTGATCGCGGAAGATGATGGGCCGGACGCGTGGTGGCCGTTGGTGTGGCCACCACCTCCGGGGGGCGGAAAAGGCAGCGGCGGCTGGTTTGACTGATCCATGGCCGGGTTGACCATCGCAGCACTCTCCCTGCCTCGACGCGCTTTTCACCGCACCGTGAAAGCTGCTGCCTTCTTTGTCTATCGCACCAAATGAGCTATGCCACAGCAACGCCAACGCTCTACCCGGTGCGTGGATGCACTGGGTACGGCGATGTGAGGCGAAAGAGACGCTGTGGTGCTGCTGCTGTGGGTGCCCTGCGCGATCCTGAGTGTTTGTGGTCAGCTCCGACACAGGCCCCCACTGGCCACCGAGGGGCACAGCGGTTGGCAGTTATTCCAACGCGTATGCGTACTCATCTACGGTGCCCCGGCGGTGGTTGAGCCGCGCAGCACTGGCACCTCTGGCACCTCACTCTTTTGCTCTGCTTGGTGTGCCGCGCAGTATCTGTAGCGTCCAGCAGTACTGGCAACAATGTCGTGGTCAGCCGTCCTAGGAAAGGTGAGGCCGCAAGCGCTGTGGTCGTCTCTTGTGAGACCAGGATGCTCATCGGTGGCGAGGCATCGTGGAGGGGGGCTGGGAGCTGCTGTAGGCGGCGGCAGCAGCTCGCGACAAGGGCCGTGCGATGCACTCGGTCAGCAGCAGCAGCAGTGCCGTGGCATGGCAGCGAACAACCACAGGCATAAGAAAATCCTCAAGTTGGCGAAAGGGTGAGTGGTTCTCCGTATTGCCCGGAATATGCGGGCGTGCTGATGTGAGAGCCCTCATCGCCAACATGACGGAACGCACACACGGGCGGGTACATCTACCGCACTGCATTGCCATGCCTCGAACGCGAAGGTGTGCAGCATACCTTGCCTGCAATGTACGTTGTATTCATGCTTCGTAGTAAATAGGACTGCAACTGCTGTAGGTGTGTTTGCTCACAATCTGATGCGTATTTCGCCCTTCATACCTCCACATCGCTCCGTTTTTCACAGCTGTGTGTATTTGTATTTACATGTGGTCTGTAGTTTGGACTCTGGGGAAGGTGGGAGAACGTTTGTCGCCGCACCACACCAGGGGAACACCGCGAAGCCATTCACGACCGCATTGTGCGTTGTCTTCCCGTACATGACACATCTTTGCTCACGTTGCACACTTGCCACCCAAGACAAAACAAATGATCCCGACTCTTGTAACCTACCAATCAGTAGTAACCCCACCCCTCAAAGAGCCACAGCGTATTTCGCACGTGCCGCCACCCCGCCCAACATCCCTCCACCCTGCAATACATTCACCGCGCACAGCGAGTTCACCGACCAATGCATCGTCATTCCCACCCCCAACCCTTCCATCTTCTAACCTTGCCCAACTTCAACCTGGCGCAGGTATCGCGGAAGGAGCAAGAGCGTTTTCAAGATCGCCATCCAGAGGGTGGAGAAGGCCCTCCAGCAGGCCTACCGCGACAGAAAGGCAAGGAAGGGCCTGCTGAATCACCGGTGTTTGTTTTTTATTTCTCGATAGATAAAAGATGGATTTGTTGTGGTACGTCAAGAAAACGAAATGTCTTTTGTGTGTTTGTGCACGTGTAGGGAGCCCTCAAATCATGGAGAGGGTAGGGTCCGGAGAGTGATGACTATCACCTGCCACCGAAGCTATTTTTGGGTGTGTTGCATTACTAGGTCATTGTGAATGAAGTTTGTACATGGCCGGATATGGATGTTCCGTAGCCATTCGCACTATGCTGTGTTGGTCTATAACCTTGAATGCATCGCTCTGCTGTTGCAATATAGTCTGGCCAAGGCGAAACGCACGTTTCTGATGTGTACGTCTGGACTTGTCTCTCTTCCTCCCCCTCCCCCCACCTCCGGATATTGCGTGTCCGCAGAACAAGAAGAGGGAATTCCGCAGACTGTGGATCGAGCGCATCAACGCCGGCGTGCGCCAGCACGGTATGCCGTACTCGGTGTTCGTCAACAAGGCCAGGAAAGCGGACGTGGAGTTGAACAGAAAGGTGCATGGCTCGCGTGTGTGGGATTGGTCGCTTGCTGCGTTTGTTTTGTGCTGCTATATACTATTTCCTTCGCTATTCTCGGCAGATGGACCGGTACCAGTGCAAGGTACTGCGCAAAGCAGGAAGGTTTTATCATGTGATGACAACATTACCAATAACAACAATTCTGGTTCGATGAGAGGGAAATTTCGTCCTCATCCCAAACCCGAATAAGTTGGGTGCTACGGTGTTTTTGAGCAGGAGAGAAGGCAGCAGTACCGCAGCAGGTCCACGTACGTGGGATTTTATCCGCGATTGAAAACATTCGTCCATCACCTCTATCATAACCTGACGCTGTCGCGTCGATCGAGACACATGGGTTTTAGCGTAGAGGCGGCCTCCATCTCCGTTGTCAATCTCGAGCCCAAAGTGCTGGTCGTGACTTGCCCAGCAGGAGACACCATCGTACTTTTTTTTTGTAGTTCCTTGATGGAATGGTGTCGGGTGGGAATACTAGCCGTTTCTGTTGAGCCACGACGTCACCAGCCAGCGATTGACATGATCCTGTACGACCACGTCAGGGAGCGGGAGTTTCGTCGGAGACACTCTTGCTTTTTTTTCTTGTCGTCTGTCCGTAAACAAGGGAGTGGCCTCTTTGGGATTGTCTTGCCGACATCGCCGAACTCTGTGTGCACGAGTTACTGCGACTAGCGAACATCATGTCACCCTTCGGATTTGGCTCAACGCCGCCCTGCCCTACCCTGCCCGGCTATTTACCCACCCACGCGCCCCCTTCGCGTTTCCTTCCTTCCCTCGCCTCTCTTGTGTACTGCATGACGCTCTCGTGGGGATAGGTGTTGGCCGAGATGGCTGTCACGGAGCCGTACAGCTTCCGCGCCGTGGTAGAGACGGTCAAGGCGAAGGGGTCGCCCAAAGCATAGCGCGGCGGGGGCGGGGGGGAGCGTGTGTTGGCGTAATGAGTGTTGGGGTGAAGGTCATCGTAGGGGGTAGGGATATCTACGAGCAGTGTCGCCGGTATGATATGCCTCAACAGTATCTTGTATCTTGTGGAATAGGTGATATCGCAGCGGGGAAAGGGGTCGGCCTAGCAAGTCGAGCGCAACTGCTGTCGTTGAATGAATTGTAACGTTGCGGCCTCTTCTCATGCTACCAAGCGGAAGGCAGTAACATTCCTTGGTTCTTCGTGACCAAAACCACCCTGTGACGGATGATCGCTCATGTCGTCTCGGCGTTAGTCTGTCTTCCTTGCCGCCACCTTTTGTTGGTGTGCGCCACGCTGGAGTAGTTCTGGCCGCTGTGTTACTGTTTTTTGTTGAAGAAAGTATCTGATACTTCGAAGTTTATTGGAGCTGTCGCAGGTCTCTTCAGGCTTTGTGTGGCACCCCAAGCGGAGACAATTACGTGCGTTCTATTTCTCGCAGAGACTTGTATTGGGCATCATCGGGTTGATGTCTCCCACATGCACCTTGAAGGGAGAGAGGAGGCAAGGTCAAGAACTTGTGTTCGAGTGGCGGTGGCTGTCGAAAAACATGTGTGGGTTCAATTACTTCGAGCTGGCCAAGTTCGACAAAAATCATGCCCGGCATTCAAGGTGCCAACTTGCGCCATTATCTCCTTTCCTGTAGCACGTGTAACTTCCAGTTTCCGCAGGTCGCGAACCACGCCTGGACTCCGTGTGAATCCTGGCGGTGAGCCTTGGGCTCGAAGCAATTGATTCTGTGAAGTCTTACTGATATCTCCTCGATTAGCACGGCTTGCATTCAATTTCTACCGGAGATAAACCCTCCCCCGGCGAGGCTGTATTGTAGGCATCTTCTCGTGCCCTTCTTCCTTCTTGAATTGTGTGGTGTCTAAATTGGAAACAAGAGCCCGATGTGACCGCACACGAAACGAGCCGACAAGGTGCTCCACTGAAGTTCCCCCGTTGTCGGTGCATTCGCGCACGCGCTGCTGGTGGGCCAACGAAGATCAAGAGACCATCATCGGATATCTTCGAGATCTTGAGGGCAGGAGTAGTTGTGGAAGTGGAGACAGCACAGGCGTAGACCGTGCGAGAGGCGCTGGAAGGAGTCCAGGCTGTCCGGCCTGACGAGAAGGCGCTTCGGCTGGTCTCCGACCCACCTACGGCGCCGAGAGGAAAATGAGCGTTTTCGTTGAGGCCACCTCACGCGTACACACACGGTTAGCTAGATGGGTGCACTCTGTGACGTCTGCTGATGATGACAAAACGAGCCTCGCGGCCCAGCCGTGTAGTGTTTTGGCCCTACTCACGAAGGTTGACGGGGACCAAACCGTAGACAAAATCAGCTTCACGATACCCGCAGCCTTTGATAAACAGGAGTGGGCCTTGCAGACAACGCTGTTGAGTTTATGTCCTGTGCCCGCAAGCGACACTTTTTTTCTGCCAATTCACCTCGGTTCCCCCTCCACCCAGTAGCTCAGGGCTAGCACGGGAACGGCCTCGACCAACCCGGCAGTGCCTTTGTCGACACTGTCCAAGTCCTTGTCTTTCTGGATCTTCCCGTAGCCGACGGGTGCGTCCTCGCTTGCTCGTCTGAGCGACGACGGGATTGAGAGCCACGACAAGAGGTTACGCCTGCTGCTGGGGGGCCCTTGTCGGTAGAGCTCCGCGGGGCCAATATTGGCTAATGAGCTCAGGGGGATCACCTGGGAGGAGAAAGTTGGGTTCATCAATGGAGGTGGAGACAGGAGCACGTGTGGGAATGCCGGGGGTGAGACGTTGTCGGTGGCGCCGACGCGAACGGGGACAAGCACTGCCGCTCGAGCTCCATACGTGTTTCTATGCGCCATCGTGCGCTAGGGGCGAAATGGTTGAATGTTCATGAATACCAGCATCTGGCGCTTCCCAGAGTACCACAGGGTTCCACAACCTTGAACCGGATATGATCAGACTGATAGCATCGGACATGCATACACCGACCGTATCACCTCTCACTACGCTGTCGGGTGGTGTCCCGTATGGTTGCAACGCACGGGCCGTCAAGGCCTCTCTGTTTATCGTCGATGGACCGATGCCATCAGGTTACAGAGAAACGTGTGCTCCAGCGCAACGCAGGCACACTCACTCTACGATCCTCTGCGCCGAGGCCTTGGTTGGCCCCTGCGGCGGCCCCTCGACCAAACGGTCCCGTCTTGTACCTCCAATACAGCACTGACGCTTTTCTTGAATCCGTCATAAAGAGTCGAATATCACGGGGCGGTAGGAAGCTGCCCTTCCATCCTGTGTGAAACATCTGCCAAGGGGACAACAATGCCGGCGTGTTACACACTAGGCACACCGGGGGGCTGTTCGATTTCTTTGTTGTGGAGAATAGGTTGGGGCGCATTTGGTCGTCCCGCTCGAGATCCCGCCGCGGTGTGCACGTCGTAAGACCGGCGGTTTCGTGTCTGACGTACTTGAAATCCCGCCTTCTTGTCCGTGACTACTGTAGAGTAGGCAAAGATACACCGTTCTTGGTTTGAACTGCCGACAAATGTTGTGGCTACTTTCTACATACCTCGTAAGTGAGGCATGCTTAGTGAGCACCTCAAAAACGTCAACCTTTTGTCACCCGGTATACACTCGACGGGGTACGTATGGGAGATGCAACGGCGGAGACGAGGCTGTACTCGATCATCTTGGGTGTTGTAACGCAAATGTGTACAAGGAGAACGCGCGTGTTCGAACGTTCAGGTCTACATGTACATACTGTCTCCATCAACTTGCGCATCTGCAAATCGCTGGCGAAGTCTCCCAACGGGCTGAGTGAGTGCAAGTGCACGATGGAACCTGCAACTCGCAAAAGGTGGTTTGAACGCGTGGACTCAGTACGGTAACTACGAATCTTACGAATACTAACTTCGTAGTCGCCGGATAGCAAATGGCATTGACCAGGTCCCCCTCACCTGCGCGTTGATGCCACGGGAAGCCATTTCCTTGCGAAATGCCTGCAAGGTGCCGTATCGGGGGGACGTATCCAGGATCACTCCACTGCAGGGTGACGCTGGCCACTGGTCGTAGTCATCGTGTTTCGTGTGTTGTTGCCGATGTTCCCGGTCAAATTCGTCGGATGGCTGTGGCTGCATCGGGTCGCTGATGTCCACCGTCAGCCCCATCGTTCCGGACAAGAACGTGACCCGGCGCGACTCTCCGCCCGTGACGTCATCAGCGTAGATGTCGTTGATGTCCACGGCGGCGGGTGTAGTGGGTTCATCGATGGTAAGCTCTTCTTGGGCTTCGTCATGAGACTGGTGAAACTCTGGGAGAACCGCGTCCCCCGCTTCGTCATCGCTTCCCGTGTGGCTGCTCTTGCTCGTGCTCCTGGGTCGGGGTAGGCTGCGTCCCGCCGAGGCTGCTAATATATGCTTCGTATCATTTCCATTGAGTGCGGCACTGGCGCTACCTTCGCTTCTGTTGCTCTTACCGCTGCTGTGCGTACGTGTATGGTGCTCAAGGGCTTCTGCGGTGAGGGGGGGGTCACTGCTGATGTTGTCGATCGATGGGATGGTTGTTGTTGCTCCCTCTTCAGCTAATACTTCTACCACTGCTGCTTGCCTCCTCAACGAGTTCATGTCCATAGAGGACTCATAGTCGCTAAAACCACGCCCGAAATCCTGCTCCTCATTGTGGACGGCGTCCTGTTGTTCGTCACTACCGCACTCGACCGCCGACATGTACTGCGAAAATTCCCCTCCTCCTCCTGTGCCTTTCTTTGCCACCAGCCATTCGAAGAGACTCGCGCGCCGGCTGCTGCTGTTAGCGGTGGAAGTTTGGTTCCCTCCGGCGGTTGTTGCGGGTGAAGAATCTGAAGCCCCCTCCGGTATCATTCTGTCCATATCGGATCGGGAACCTCCGCGCCTACCCGTGGAAGAGCGGCCGCCCGCTGTGCCTGCCGTCTCCAGACCGTGCGAGATGATCGGGTCTCGGAACGTTCGCGTCGCTCCAGCGAGCCTGCTGCTGTAGACCGCCGAGGAGAACCTCCTGGTGCCGGAGCCTGGCTCGGTCGGGTCCCGAAACATTCGGGTTGTGCCAGAGAACCTTCTCGGGTAGGTGCTGAAAGGAAACCTCGAATTCCTCCTCACTGGTGTGGTAGTGTCTGCTGACGTCGACGCCAGTGATTCATCGTCGGCTGCGCTGTGCTCTCTGGACGTCATCGATGAATCACCTTGGCTTTCTCTTAACAAGTTTCAATCTCAAGTGAAAGAGTGAAAGCGCGAGGTTTCGCGCTGTTAGGGGGGACACATGAGTTGCCTACGCCTCTAGAGCAAGAGGCACTTGCTTCGTGCGCATAGATCGTACTGCTGTTGTGTAGATCAATTCTCTGTCGACTGCTCGTGGTTGTGTTCTCGGTCCACGTGTAGGATGCTGCCGGTAGGAGAGGAACGAGATCAACAACTGTGTTTTTTGGTAGTTCTCTACTCATCGATGAAAAATAATTGTAACGAGGTGACTGGAATCGTTGGCATGGGGCTCATCGGCTCGTCGGCTCGTCGGCTCGTCGGGTGCTGTCGATGGTCGACAAACAGATAACATTTGATATAAAAAAATGGCAGCGGTTTCAGATGCAGCACCCCGCCGCTGTCAAGGAGTTCTGAGATTTCGCGGAGCCCCCTCGCTCGGGTCTCCCATGATGATGATGACGATGCCATCTCCACCTGTGTGCGGCACCCAACGCTGTACCATGTCTCGCTGCGGAGTGCTAGCAGGTGTTGTGGGCCTGGCTGGCCTGATCGAGCAGGCCCAGGCCTTTGTGGGATCTCCCGTCCTTAGAGCCAGAGCGTTTTCGCCGTCAACATCCCACAAGGTGTGTGTACTGCTGTAGCAGTGGGCCGGCCGCTGTGCGCAGCAGGAAGCAGCAGCAGCAGTAGCAGCAGCAGAAGCTCCAGGCTTGTGAGTCGTTCTTTCGTCGCTTTCCGCACTGTTGGTGGGCTAGCACTGCAGCAGTAACAGGCCTGCACCAATGGCTCTGGAGGATACATGTATCATGACACATTTGGCGCGAAGCGCTCTCTCAACCACATGAATCGACAACAGCAGCTTGGACACATACACCCGCAAACGTTGCGGTGTTTTACACTTTATACGTAACACCTGCTATGCGTGGGACCACACGCACCAGGTTGTTGGGCGTGCTCCCTGATATCATCCGTCGTCTACGTAGATTCCCGGAAGCTCTAGGCTTTGCTTCAGAGACTGATATTCTAGCAGAATTTGCAATGTACTGCTGCTGCTGCTGTTGTATTATAGTCGGTGTGTTGTACGCGAGGCTGCAGCTATTGTTAGGAAAAATTATGGATACACGAGATGACCTCACTGAGTTGCCTTGTCATTAACACCGTATCGAGACGTGAGACTGCTCCTGGTGGCCTCTTTCGTGTTCGCCCCATGCTTGTTGCACTTCACGTAAGCGCCCACCGACGTACACTCTTCTGCTGTCGACACCCTGTTGATGAGGCTAGTCAATCAGACTAGAGTCTACAGTCGTCTAGGCTACTCAGGCAGCGCTGCTGACTGAGTAGTCTAGCGTATTGGCTAAATAAGCCTCAATCGATGTAGCACACCTGCAAGCCTGCAAAGGCAGGGTAACTTGTTGCGCGTACCATTTTAGTTATACTCAACGTTTCCATTGTTTTCGTTTTGAATTGCCCGCTCGAGGCAGGCTGCGCTTGGAACAAACCGAAGCCAACGCAAGTAAAACGAATAAAATGAAAATGAAAATGAAAAGATACTGCATTATTGTACCATGATTCGTGCGGGGGGAACGCCACCACTCGCCACTGCAACTTGATGAACGCCAACAGGCGACCGACCCCTCCGCTCGGCTTGGCCGCTCTACGTTTACCACCCTAAAATCTGGTCGCCTTGCGCTGTCTGTACCTGTCTCAAAAACGACGGTGGAACGAACGAACGGCGAAGCTGTCCATGGTGACGGAGGCGAAGGACAGCTATGACGTCATGCTCCTGCCGGGGGACGGAATCGGTCCCGAGATCACGGCGGCCACCGTCAACGCGCTCGAGCCGCTGCAGTCGCTCTTCAAGCTCAACTTCAAGGAGGTGTGTCTTATCCGTGTGCACCCCAGAGAGACAGGCCATGCGCTTGTACTTTTTTTTTAGAACAGATATGTGCTTCTGGTATCACAATCCCGGCGTGGCAGGACCATGGTCACGAGCAGAGAAGGGAACCGATGTATGTATATTTTATTATTTTTGAACCGCCAGACAGACGGCTGTGCTGCTCTGCTGCTGCTTTGTTGAAGATGCTGCGTGTTCAAACAACTGCAGTCGCCCTCTTCGATTCCTCAACATCAAGCATGCACGTACGGTTTACGCAATGGCGGTGGTCTCTTGACTTGCAAAAATACACCGTCAACGGCAGCGGCATATCCCCCGCTGCGGCGGCGCGCCTATGTTTCAGTTCGCCGTAGATTGTACCACGTCCTCTTGTGCGTGCTAGTCGTGAGTCCTCCCGCTCTTTTCTCTGGCCTCTCGTTCACGTTGAACACCACCACCCCCCTCCCCGTTCTGCAAAAGTGTCGCGGCCTGTTCTCAAAACTGGCTTTCAGTGTGTCCTCGTAGGCGTTTTCGTTGTTGTTGTAGACTTCCATCGTAGACCACGGTACTAAACAGCGATCGAACGACGGTGTTTGCCATCGGGGTTGGGTTTTCGTCGCTTGGCAACGACGTTGTAAAACAAGCCCCCCGCTCGGTGTTTGCCATCGGGATTGGGTTTTCGTCGCTTGGCAACGACGTTGTAAAACAAGCCAATTCACTTCGTGAACTCGGCAACCAGGTTACCGTTTTTTTTTTTTACTCGTTTTTTTTTTTGGCGGTAACCATAATGGTGGTCGAGTAGATCATGTTGTGCGGGGTGGAGAACCCTCACTCCGCGCAACGGGGGATGATCGCACCACGTTGTGTTAATATTGGTCAAGCCACCCTCGAGGCAGTTACACAGTGCTTACAACTGTCTCTGGAAGTAAAAGCACCAGATTATAAATTAAGTCATACGTAGCCTGTCATCCGTACGCAAGGAAGTAAGCACAAGATGCCGAACACGCTTAGCAGGATGCAGCTCACCCTTCATGCGACTCGCCAAATACCTCACGGTGCTTCGCGCTTGGTGATGTGAGAGCCTGGTCCGGTGAGGACCCGGCGTGCTCCGTCCCGGGTTCGTAGGGATGCGAGGTTAATGGTCTAATGACTACGGCATGCACGACTATGAGTACACCCCCCCCCCCCCCCCCCAGTATTCTGACTGCGCTCACCCGATGTTTGCGATATTTTTTCTGGCCGTGCACACGTTATCCGCTGCGGTACATACCGCCGAAAGGCGCTGATCGGAGGTGCCGCCATCGATGCCGAGGGATCGCCGTGGCCTGATTCCACCTTGGCGTTGGCCAAGGTGAGAGATGCGTTCTGTCCCTGTTGGTGCGCTACATGATGGTTTGTCTGTCTAGAAGGGGTGTCGGTGACGGGTGGTGGCGGTGGTGTTCGTTGCTGCTGGCCCTCGTGTTGGGGCTGGTGTGGGGACGCAGTAGACATTGTGGCGGTGGGTCCGCACAAAACTCACCGCGCTATCCGCAAGTTTCCGTGTAGACCGTGCCGCAGTGTTGGGGGTGCGAATGATCGCGTGTTGTTGTCAGTTATTTTTTTGTTATCATTTTGTGTGTGTTTGTTGTTGTCCGCAACCAATCCAAACGAAACTCATCAACAGGCGTCGGACTCTATCCTGCTGGCCGCCATCGGAGGGCCCAAGTGGGACGGCAACCCGAGGGAGCTGAGGCCCGAGACCGGGCTGTTGGCGATGCGCTCGCAGTTGGGGCTGTTCGCCAACCTTCGGCCTGCCAAGGTGAGAGGGGAAGCCGAACTGTTATTTTTTTTCTACTTGGAGCTCATTCGGGCCCTCGTCTGTTTCTTGCCATTTCCACATGTTCAGTTCTGTGACTTCGTATTTTGGCAACATGCCGAGTGCGGCAGTCCACCAAAAGCACAAGTGTATATATGGACGTTGCAATTTTTCTTAGTAAGTGCCTTAATCGCACAGGCCACGATACATTTCACTATAAAGATTAATTTGGTTGCAGAATGAATGCAACAAGCTCGTAACCTCTTCTTTGATTTGCTCCGTCCCTCGTCTTGCCTCCGCATCAACTACATTACCCACACCCCCCCGCCCCTTGCCATATTCTAACGTAGGCTCTCCCCTCCCCAAAGCTCCTCCTGGAAAATGGGTGGGTATTTTCGGCGTTGAGATGACAATAAGGCAAACGAGCACGTCTCACATGTACAGTCCCCATCCCACACCGCGCTACTTTAGGAGCAAGAACGGTGCGCCGGGTCACAAGGAATGCGTTGTCGAATGACCGTCCCCCTAGTTTCTTTTGTATTTTGCGTCTAACACGGTCTAGCAACTAATGTACGCAAAACATGAGTACCCTCCCGTCTCCCCGTCCCCAACCCTTTTTTTTTCCTTCTCTTTTTCGCCCCCAACACCCCGCCCCGCCTTCCCAAGGTGATGAAAGAGCTGGTGGACGCCTCTTCCCTCAAGCCCGAGATCGTGGAGGGGGTGGACATCATGGTGGTCAGGGAGCTCACGGGTGACGTCTACTTCGGCACGCCCAAGGTCCGCGCCTACTAGCTGTACACACTATGCTGGACGTGTAGTATTTCGCAGCTGCCGATTGCTCTCGTTGCCGCCGTTTACTGTTGAGTTTTGTGGGCATGATGATTTGATTGTTGTGGTCGTCGTCACGGGAGCTCTACGGAGGCGACATGCACGCACGGAAAAAAATCAACATCCAGGCATTTATTTCACTTGTCATGATCCAAGAACCCAACAAGTGTAAAATCAACAAGTGTGTGTGTTGCCCTCGAATGCGATGATGATGTATGTTCTGTCCTTCGATCAGCGCCCCTGTCGTTGTTTCCGTCAAATACAGAACGCGCCCGCGCTTAAGAAGCTCTATTTACAGGGTCGGTCGAGGCTGGGGTTCTCGCTGTATTCCTAGGGTCGTGCTACAAATGGATGTCAACTATATATATATAGGTTTTGAGTGTAAGGGATCTTAACCGAGCTCACAAATAGTGCTCAAGTTCTTGCAATTTTGATTTTCGTTTGTAGGCTCAATTTCTTTAGTAACTCCTGGGTTCTTTAGTGCGGGCGCGTTCTGTGCGACTTGTTGCCGGGACTTTGCCGACAGCCCGACCGGGTTTAAGGTGGACTATATAGCGGTCCCTTTATGCGGCGTTGGCCTGTGACGCCGGTGAAAGATCGCGATGGGGTATTGGAGCTGTTTCTTGTTCTGAATGATGCCGGCTGCCCGGTACAGAAAGCCGACCAGATGGTTCCTTGGTGCTGCTGTGCGGCCTTATGCGGGGGGAACCGACCACTGCTGTTGTCACGAAGAACGACAGTGTGTGCACTCTTCTTTCGACGGTGGGGATGGCGGCAACGCTGCCTAGATGATTTATTAGCATTGCCCGAAGAAAACAGAACACTGAAACGCCTCCGGTTTTGACGTCGACCCAACGGATGAGTGTACAGTAAGACCCACACGCGAACCGGCGAGCACAGAACCATGATGCCTCCTCGTATTTACGTCCCCCCCGAAAATCCTCCCCCTTGCCATGTTCGTACAGGGGATCGACGAGCTGCCTTCGGGGGAGCGGGTAGGGTACAACAACATGATCTACCACGAGCACGAGGTGCGCATGCTTCCCTTGGGTGTGTGGAGGGGCATCTTGGCGTTTTGTTTTGTTTTGTTTTATTTTTGTCACACTCAGCGGCGAGCGCTGTTGGTGCCAACGGGCGGTTGCGGTGGTGGCGGGGGGAAGAGGACTAAATTCGATGTCTCTTTTTTTTATGAGTTCGTCCATTCCTACTCGTTCCATGTACTGCGAACTACAAGAATCTCAACACAAGAGCTGTGCTCGGTTGAAGTGTTTTTTTTTTTTTTTGTTCGTGTTCTTGGCCGGTTTGTTTGACTTGCTTGGGAATATTGTGAACTACAAGGACCTAGCTGTGTTCCGGTGACGCGGCGTTATTTTTTTCCTTCTCTTTCTTGGTTTACACGCAGGTGGAGCGTATCGCGAAGGTTGCGTACGACGTGGCGATGAAGAGGGGGAAGCGCCTGTGTTCCGTTGACAAGGCTAACGTGCTCGACGTCAGCCAGGTACGACGCGCGTGTTCAGACGCGCAGCAAAGGAAGGACTGTCGTAGAGGCTTGCTGCTGCTGCTGCTGCTGCTGCTGCTGCTGCTGCTGCTCCTGCAACTACTACTACGACCGTTATAGATGTTTTTTTGCTTTGGAAGCTCGTTGCAAGGCACATCAAGAAACTGGTCAATGCGTGGTACACCAGCCCGACACTAGAAGCTTAAAGCCTACTCATGGTATTTTTGTTGGGGGAGGGAAGGAGGACAACAATGTGAAGCTACAATGCCCATGTGGAAAAAGAAGACGAGATCTACATTTCCTTGGGGATGTGAACTTTACGAAGAACCTTATGGAGAAGCAGACACCAAAACGCTGCTTCTACTGCTGCTGCTGCTGCTGCTGCTGCTGTCGCTGCTTTTGTTTTGGGCCGCGCTGATGTAGCTGTGGAGGGACGTGGTGATCAAGATGTCGGAGGACTACCCGGAGGTGGAGCTGACGCACCAGTACGTCGACAACGCCGCCATGCAGCTCATCCGCTGGCCCAAGCAGTTCGACGTGATGGTGACAGGCAACATCTTCGGCGACATCCTCTCCGACGAGGCCTCCATGCTTGTGAGACAGGCCTTCCGTACATGTGGTGGTGTTGTCGTGTTTCTGCGTGTTTTGCTTTCCGCCGTTCTTGTTGCTGGCCATGATGATGATCTTGTGCGGGGAAGTGTTGGAGAAGTCTAAATAGTGCTGATGTTGTTCTCTGTTCTCACGATAGTATTGGCGGTTAGTTGTGATGCAGCGACATCCCATAAATCACGGGTGATTGATCAGGCTGACGAGTTCCCCCGCGCTGCATGAAACCGCACTGGCTGTATCGGATAGGTGGGCTCCCTCGGCATGCTCCCCTCCGCCTCCATGGGAAACCCCGACGGCCCCGGCGTGTTCGAACCGTGCCACGGTTCCGCCCCGGACATCGCGGGACAGGACAAGGCCAACCCATTGGTGAGAAACCCCGCATGCAGGCACCGGCAAGACAGACGGGGAGTTGTACCACCGGAGTACCCACCCCACCCTACAGTCACGTTGCCCCCCCTTACCCCTCAAAACCGCAACTCCTGGCTGTTGGTCCCTACGCGTGCACCCTTGCCCCCCCCCCTTCTCTGTGTACCTCCAATCAACGAATTGCGTACACACCACTGTCCCGTCTGGCACGACCCACCTCCAGTTGCCCCTCCCGTGCACAGCATCCCCCCTACAACACGACATGCACCTGAATCTGCGTTGTCCCCCTCCATCATGCATCTGCGTCCGCTTTCCTTCAAGCACGATGCTTTCATATCCCGTCCCCCATCTTCCTCAACCGCGCAATATAAACGTACGCCCAACAGGCGATGATCCTCTCTGCCGCGATGATGCTTCGGTACGACCTGGGGCGGCCGGCGGAGGCGGACATGGTGGAGGCGGCCGTGGACGTGGTCATGGACAAGGGCTACGCCACCAACGACATCCAGCGGGAGGGCACCACGGCCGTCGGGTGCAAGGAGATGGGCGACAAGGTGAAGGAAGAGCTCGCCAAGCTCGTGGCTGCGGGGGCCGGGGCGGAAGCGGCTGCCGTGGGCGAGGCGGCGGCGGCGCGATGAGCGGGTAGTAAATCGAGTTGAGTGTAGTCTGTCTGACGTTTCTGGTGTTGCCTGAACGGGTGCGCAAGGCAGGGAAATGGTAGACGAAATGGAGGGTGCTGGCCCGCCGTTGGAGCGGGGCGGTGTAAGGATATTGCCGTTGTGTTCATGTGAGCGTTGCAAAATAGGACCGCCGTAATGGTTTGTGTCAGCACGGACGACAAGGGCGGATGGTACGGTATGACGCACGAGAAGCCACTAGGCGCCGGCGATCAGGAAACGCCCTGCCAAGCACGTGACGGCTTGAACTCAATGCGTCAAGAACTCTCTCGAACATTTAGTACTTCAGCGTGGGTAAACGCTGGCACTAACATGTGGGGCACTTTTTTCTGTGAATAGCAAGGTCCGAACGGGATAATCGCGGTCGGAGTAGCATCGCACATAGGCGTCCTGCTGGCGCCTTGCTCGTGAAAAAGAAGGCCTAGAAACGAAGCACGTTTTGATGTGTATGGCATCACTTTACATTGCATGGGTTTTCACTCACCCATTCAGCACACCGCGGCCGTCGCTGCTGCTGCTACTGCTGCTTTTTAGCGTTGTGATGGTGTTATCGTTGTCGCACACACGATTTTTCCTTGTATTACGATACAGCCACTGCTGTTGTGCGACCAATTGATCCAGCCCCCCCATGAGACTGCATGTTCACCGACGCCACACGAATTCCGTCAACATTGGCGGAACGTATTATTTCCCAACGTTCCACGGATGAACTCATTTCGAACCCAAAATGGACGTGAAGAAAAAACCCAAAACAAAACAACTCATTTTGTGGGACCCCGAACAGCTCCAAAACACACTCAAGTGGAGTGAAAACGGGGGCCTCCCCCCCCCAACTCGTTAGGCACCTGGAATTGGGAGTTGTGGCACGTCGATCAATTTCTGCAGGGACGCTCTTCCCTGCTCCCCGTCAAACTCCTCCACAAAATAAACCTCCGATGCACGTGCTGAACTGCCTTCAGCCCTTTCACTGGAAACCGCTGCTGTGGTCGGTGTGACCATGGAAGCGGCGGTGGCTCGAAGCACTTCCTTGAGATCGCACCCTCTTTTCCACGATACTCTTACCAGAATGGGTACGCAATACACACTCAAGAAGACCCTCCGCCCGCTGGCCTTTGCGTTTACCACGTGCAGTCTGCTGTAATCGTCTGTGCGAGCGTTGCCGCGCACTGGTAAATATCGCTCTCCGTGTTTGGGGGTCGAACTTCTCGCAGAACCGCGTGTTTCTACGGCATGCTCCGACAACTCTATGCAACGTTCGCCGGCTATGTCTCTCTAGTTCTCTAGGGCTCGGTCAACACCACACCCGCCGCCCCGCCGGCACAACAACCAACAACAACCAAGCCAAAACGAACAATAGCACCACAATCGCCACAATCTGGAGCAGCAGGGGGGGGTGACCTCGCCGATTAACCTAGATAATCCATATCCTTCGGTCCGACTCAGAGTGAACTCTGGTTCCACGTGCCATCAAACCTGGGACAGGATTCCGTTCCAAACATCTACGCCAGCAGTCCAGGCGAGGCGCCAAGCTGCCCGGCGCGTGGTGCAATCTCCAAAGCGCTTCTGGTTCTTTTGGCTACGTCTGCACTATGTCACCGCGGAAAAATTGGGGACCTCCGTTCTACGAGCCAGTAACACCGATCTTGCGGCTCGTCGCTCTAGAGTTCAACACTGAGGCGCGGCGCCCTTCAACGCTGAACACGGGCATTTCATTCGTAGGACTAGTTGTACACCCCTTTTGCGTCCTTCCAGAATAACAAACTCTCCACTTCGCACGTTCCTGCTGCTCAAGATGCCCCATTGGGAAGGCGTTGCGTGTGTTTGTTACTAATATTTGCATCGTCTGCGCTAGTATCCGGCTGACCAATGAAAACACGTCAGTCTCAGTGTGGTGAACATACTGCAATAGGCCACGATCTGAGTCCCCGCGGGGCGGCGTCATGGGGGAAGCTAAGTTACATGTTGGCATGTGTCCTATGTGGCAAACGTCACCGGCGGACCAAAAAGACAACACTACACTGCTAGACGTGATGATCCGAATCAGCAAGGGTAGGGGGTCTACCCGGTAACCTCTCGACCCCATCGGACCCCATCGGCAGGAACAACCCCACGTGCGTCCTGGAAAAAAACGCGATGATGGCAAAAAACACACACACACAAGCACAGTCAGTCACGCCGTACGCAAAAAACGGGAAAGATGCAGAGGTGTAGTTGCAGAGGAAAAAGAAGGCGGCGGGTGTTGATCGGCGTGGTGGGCAGCCTGCTGATCCACGTGATATTCCGTTTTGAAGCAGGGCGTATCATCGAGACGGTTTCGGCGAGGCGGCCGCACGGGTTGGATCTTCGGCCATCGTCGCACAGCATGGAAGGTCGCTAGCGCTTCACAACTACAATGAAAAAAAAAGTGAAAAGATTCAATAAAAGAGTGAAAAAAAGCCAAAAATATAAGTGGAAAAGAACAAGAGTGAAAGAAGTGAAAAATAAGTGAAAATAGTGAACATAAGTGTGAACAAATGGCAAAAACGCTGTTGCAGTGTAAGCACATACTTCTGCATTACCTCTCTGTATTTCTACAAAATTGGGGTACACAAAAAAAAAATGCACACGTTCACGGACTGTGGCAAAGGTTTGTTGAGGAACGCTTTGTTCTGCTGGTCTGTATGTGTGAAGAGCGTCCTCCCTAGTCGGTTGTTCCAGCGAGGATGTCGCACGGCCGGGTCGAGTCTCTACGGCTACGGGCGTCCAGCATGGAAAGCACAACTACAATGAAGAAAAGTGAAAAAGAGAAAAAAGAGTGAAAAACAGCGAAAAATAAGTGAAAAGAGGACAAGAGCGACAAAAGCGAAAACCAAAAGTGAAAAGAGTGAATAATAGTGAAAACATTGAAAAGGTGGGTATGCAGTGTGAGCACATGCTTCTGCATGATCCCTTCATTGTGAGAAATGGCATGCACAAATACCGTATATGACACAAGATAACACACACCCTTGAAAGATTTTCAAAGCTCGATTTCTCAACAGCAGGAAGAGTCACAGCGCCGAAAACGGCGGCGTTGGAACCGTCTCGTCGAGAGCTGTTCGAAAACGTATTGTTTCATTTATGCATCCTCTTCGTCGTGGAGTAATCGAGCTTTGAAAATCGGTCCAGGGGGTGTGTTATCTTGTGTCATATACGGTAGTAATGTAGACGACCACGTAGGGGCGACGGACCACGAAGAATAATGAAAAATAGAGAGGAACGTTAGCTTGAGGAACCCTTCGGTCTGTCTGTCTGTGTGAAGAACGCCCTTTGCTGTGAAACAGTCACAGCTCTAGCAGGTGTTTTCGGCCAGGTGGCCATACGGCTGTGTGCATGGAGAGCCGCTGAAGCTTTCATACGAACAACGGAAAACGAGTGAAAACGAGTGAAACAGTGAAGCAAAAGTGAAAAAATAGCAAGGTGGAACACCAGCAATTTGAAACCTATCACATTCATCAAGTATATAGTGACGAACGTTGGCTTGAGGAACGCTTGGTTCTGCTTGTACGTTCGTGTGTGCGTGTGGAACACTAGGAGAATAAATAGTTGGCCGCCATGCTGGTGTGCGGAGGTCCCACCTACAAGCGCGCGAACAACGACATGAAAAAAAAACACCGTACCTACCCGACACCACACCTACACACCGACAACAACACACGTCGAGGGCATGGAATCAGGAAGAGTTCAAAACAAGCCACAGCGGTGGTCTCAGCACCAACAAGACGAAAGTAGAAAATACCGTCTGGAACCGCACGGCAACGCGGTTGACGCCAAAAGGCGATCCTGTCAGGAAGGCCAGCCGCAAACAAGAAACCGCAATGGCGCGAGCAGCGGGGGTCGACTCATTTCCGACCTCTGGCGCTCACCCGTGGCCTTGCAGGGACAGCATCCGAAGGTCGCCGCCGAAGTGTCGCGCGTACAATCTGCTCACGGGCAGCCCGATGCCCATGCCGGACAAGGGGTCAATCGCGGGCTGGAAGGATGCGTTCGCGGCGTGCTTCGCTTGCACCTCATCATACGTCTCTGGTGGGGGGGGGGGTCAGCGGGGAGGGCGTGGGGTGGTGGTGGGACTCACGTAATGCTCGTTTCTAAAATTGTTTTGGAGGAGAACGGTTTCTAGTCCTGTCGGAACGCCGCGACTTGCCATTGTCAATGGTTCTCAATGCCTTTGCTTGAGTAGTGAGATAACACGGACATTTTCGTCTCGCGTGCGCGATGTGTAGGCCAAAAAGGCTGGCATTGGCGAGCGTAGGACAATATCGCTATTAACGGTTCATGTGTGCTGGTGCAAAGACTAGAATACAGCACACCAGATAGATAACCACAAACACCAACGTCCTCGCACAAGCAAGCAACCGCCTATCACACACCCCTCCCACCACGACATGGGGAAGAAATACAACGCCAACAACAAAACACACCAAAAACAAGAACCAAACGACCACACCAGGGCGACAGCACGCCTCAACACACGAACTAAACGCCGCACCAGAAGATGTCCAAAGGTACTTGAAGGCGTCGCGAGCGGTGTCCATGGCCATACCTCCGCCCTCGTCCGACACGCAGACGCTCACTTGTCTCTTGCCCTGTTCATCGCCACACGACCCCGTAGAATTTTAAAAGATATTGTTCAAAATATTATGGTGTGATGACCAAGACCAGGAGAGAGCAGTCACGGGTAGAAGCGAGATCATCCATTATCAGTGGAACCAATAAAATTGACAGACATACAGGTGTTTAGTGTTTGGTCTGCTTTGTGCGTCTCTCTCTCTCTCTCTCTCTCTCTCTCTCTCTCTCTCTCTCTCTCTCTCTCTCTCTCTCTCTCTCTCTCTCTCTCTCTCTCTCTCTCTCTCTCTCTCTCTCTCTCTCTCTCTCTCTCTGTCTCTCTCTCTTCCTCTCTCTCCATCTCTCTCTCTCCCTCTTTCTCGCTGTCGCGTTGCTTTCGACGTCAAAGAAAGTTTTTCGCGAGGAAACGACGCCAGCACCCATCGCATAACCACATCACAACGCTACCGGAGGCAAGAAAAGGGTGTCTGTCAAGAACACGACCAGCAAGGACAAACAACGATGGCCAAGCCACGATCCTCGAAAGAGTTGCAACCATCGACGCCTTAGAACTGCATTGCTGGCCAAAACAAAAATATGAGGAACATAAAAAAAAGGAAAAAATGGAAAAATAACACGAAAAACCAGCAGTCCATCCCGTTCCCCTCATGTCATGTACATATGCATAGATAAAGAAAGATAATGACAGATACTTGCCGACAGCTGACATCACACCGCACCTGCGCTATCCGGACGCGTACGGGGGGAAGCGTATTGGCGACGCTGGCGTGCGCCGTAGTGGTGGCCTTGAGAGCGTTCTTGAGCACCTCGAACAGGATGTGGTGCACGTGGCTCGGAATGCAGCTGGCTCGAGCGTCAACGTCCCCCTCTTCTCTCGAGAGAAACCGCAAGCAGCCAGCCGGCACGAAGCAAAAATAATGAACGGCGAATGAGCAGAGGTAAGCCGTGAGCACGTGGTGGACATGATGGCGTCACGTCCGGGGTGTTGCCATTGAGGCCGAGAGGGGCATAGGTTGTTATTGTTTTTGTTGTTGTCGTTGACTATTGTTGTTGTTGTTGTTGTTGTTGTTGTTATCTTCACCTCAAAAACCGTTCCGGTCTCCGCTCAGTACCTTCTAATGTCCGTACTGGTCCAACTCACGCGGGCGCCTTCCGCGGTCACAAGCCTACCCCACAAGTAGTTCAGACGAAGAAACTGCTGTACCTAACAGCATCACCCCCGCCACCATAACTAACTCCCTTGCTCTCCATGAGGAGACGGAACTGGCAATGTTCCTGTTTCTTGCCTTCCTGTCGGCAGCAGCGGCAACAGCCTCTGACACGGCGGCCCCAAGGCTAGCTACACTGCGCCTCCCGTCCGGTGGTGCATATCGATCGCGGTGTGCAGCTCACCAATAATTACGTCTGGCGAGTGCACGAGGTGATGTTCCGTGATGAGTTGAGTCTCGCCTTGAAAACAGCGTTGACCAATCGGCCGAAGAAGAGTTGGCGCGATTTGTTTCGGGTTGTGCACCCAAAGGGAAGAAGAAGGGAGCGGGGGGCGGGGGGCGGGGAGGGGTAGCGCCGGGGAGTTCGTTGAGTCAAGGGAGGGGGGGGCTTGTCGGAGTCCTTCACTGCCGACCGGGGGTCCAGCACCTTGAGCGCAACACGCACCGGGGGGGGGGG